GATTTCTCCATTCTCATCTCTTATGCTATACTATACTTATTTTACCAAAATATCAAGCCAGAGAAAATTCGAGCTGATTATCTGAATGTTGTTCTTTTGTTTGCATTTTAATATTTGGGAAAGATGGCCCATTAAGAGCACTCTGAGCTATTTCAGATGCTCTATGTTATGAAAATACAATGTATTAATACCTTCCCAAAGAGAATATATAGTGTCTCATAGTAGTGAAAGGTTCATTGAAGGGAAGCTGTAGATTTGCATTGTCAGAGACAATATTGTATGTCAGAGAGGGCAGCCGCAATCATTTGTTGATTCTCTCACTTCTCCCCAGGACAATGCCACCAACATTCAGAGGCAAATGATAAATTATGAACTGTGGTTCTTTCATTTTGGTAGGTAACAGCACCTGTTTGATCTTGTCTGGGTTTAAAAGCTAACTAGTATTTCTGCCCAGTGCTAGACTTTCTTATGTTGTGGTCCAAGGGAGAAAAATATTGACATGGAGAGTACTCAGACTGGAATGATATGCATTGTATAGATGAATTGTAAGCTAAAATTTGAGAACTGTTTTAGAGTTTATTTTTTGACAGAGCCATGGTGGTGCAGTGGTTAGAATTCAATATTGCAGGCTAATTCTGCTGATGGCTAGCAATTTGATTCTCACTGGTTCAAGGTTGATTCAGCCTTCCACCCTTCTGAGGTCGGTAAAATGAGGACCTAGATTGTTGGAGGCAATATGCTGACTCTGTAATTAGTTCAGAGAGGGCTGTAAAGCACTGTGAAGTGGTATATAAGTCTAAGTGCTATTACTATTTGAATGGGAGGCCACCATGGTATGCTTTGGGATGAAAAAAATCTCATCCCAAAGGGTTTAGATGTAAGAGAAAAACCAACATCTAACCTGTCAGTCTAGAGTGATGCCATTAAAAAAAAAACAGTCAGTAGTGAGAAGATTTCCTTCAGAGTGTGCATGGTGATGGCAAAATCAATTTTGTCTTGGTTTTGTGATTTCCTCTCATGGGAAGAAAAGTATCTCTCCCAGTGGGCTCACAACTAGAAAAGCAGCACTCCACAGTTCCACAGAAGCTGGAAATTGGAAATGCAATATCAATCTAAGAAGTAGTAAAAGCTTGATGCAAATTATAACCTTAATTTGTTTAATGGGAAATGATCTGAGCTGTACCTTGTTTTATGTATTCTCTATATACATTTCCTGTCTAGAGGAGCAGCTACTCAGAAAAATCCTACAAACTCAATTGTTATTTTCTCCTATTTCCTGTTCTCTTTCTGGCTTTATCTTCCATTTAGTACCTTAATTTTGCTAATCATTAGAAAGCATTACATTTCTTATTGAATTGTTCCAATAGATAATTTAACTTTTATCATTTGCCTGGTTGCTTGGCTAAGCAAGAAATGAAGGAAAGAAAGCAGTTTGCTACTTCTGCCCTCTCCAAACAAGTCAGTGCAGAGAAGGATTTTCTCTAGAATGAAATGGATAATGGCGATACTTACCCAGATTCTTGCCCAGAAATTGTAGGAGCGTGCAGGACAGTTGAGGGTAGGAGACCTGAATATCCCTATACAGTCAACCATGCATTTGGGTGGAAACACCTTCTATCCCACCAGGCCTGTAAGTACAATCTTTCACACCAGGGCTGTCCTCTCCTTTTCATGGGATATCACCCTTTAATAATGAAAAATAATGCTTACACTATTCTAACTCCACAGAATCCATGTAGCACAATAATTATAGTCATCTTAAGGTCTTACATGCCCAGATTCAAGCTCAGAACTCATGGAATAATGTTAGGCAGCCATTCTCCCATGAGCTGTTCAGAGCATCCAGAAGTGGGAGGTGCTTCAGTCTCTTTTGGAAAGGCTGGGCTTAAAACTCCGGGATGCTCCTCCTCCTCCATGGGACACCTCCTCAGCATCCCCCAGTTTTAGCTCAGCCTTCGTAGTAAGAGGTTGTGCACTCCCTGACTGGAACGGTTTTCTGATTCAGGTTTGCTCTTGGGTTATTTTGGCTTGTAAAAATCTTCCCCATTTAATTTGGCTTTTTTCAGGCTTGTGCCTCTATTAGGTTGCCTCAATCAGTTTAAAAACAGTTTCTTTGTAACTAGCAGAGCCTGCCACTCTGCGGGCAGCCTGAGGCGACCGCCTCAGGCAATTACCTTATCTAACTTTCCGATCGTCTTCTCTGCGATCGTAGTGGAGCGCTCACAACCGCGGCTCACTTCACCTTGCCGTTTCGTCTGACAGGAGAATTTAACTCGCAAGTTAAAGCCTCAGCAGCAGCAGCTCGTTAGACTTCTCAGACATTAGCAGTGGAGATTCTGGCTTCCCGCCTTTTTCAATGGCTGGCTCAAGTATCACAGGTGCCATTCCCCGCTGGTTTCCCTTTTTGGGGACCAGGGCAGTACCTTCCCACTTCGTTCTCCCTGGGTTTAGCTTTCCCTTGTCTGACCGACGTTGGATAAGCAGGCTAGTCAAGGAAATTCCTGTGAGTGGCGCCTATACCCGTCTGTCTTCCAGGAAGCAGTGCGGAGGTTTGGGCAACCGGTGATTGATCTATTTGCCTCTCCTCTCAACGCCCAATTGCCCCGGTATATTTCAAGGTACCCGACTCAGGGGGCGGAGGCCGTCAATGTGCTGCGATGTCAGTGGCCTCCCAGACTTCTATATGCGTTTCCTACACTCCTGGTAATACCCAGGTTGATCCAGAAGTTATTGGAGGAACGAGTGGAATTGATATTGGTCGCCCCTTACTGGCCCAGGTGAACGTGGTTCGCAGACTTACAGGACCTGTCGAGAGAACAACCTTGGAAAATTCCACCATCGAAGGTTTCCCTCTCCCAAGGGCCGATACTTCACCCGAACCCACAATGGCTCAGTCTAGCCGTATGGAGGTTGAGCAGAGCCATTTAAGGGCCCAACAGATTTCAGAGGATGCTATTGCCACCATTCAAGCATCCAGACGGTCCTCAACAAATCGTATATATGAGGCCATGTGGTCCACCTTCTGTCGCTGGTGCCAGGGGTCTAAGATCGACCCAACTGCCCCATCAATAGGACAATTATTGGACTTTTTACAGGAGGGGTTGACCAAAGTCATATCTCCAAATACTTTATGCAGATAGGTGGCGGCTTTAGCCTCGGTGATAGCCTGGGGTGACTTCCGTTCCATAGCGCACCATCCACATGTCCGCAGCTTTCTTAAGGGTGCTGCAAACTTACGACCTCCTGTAATTCACCACTATCCCACCTGGGACCTCAACAAGGTGTTAACCGTACTTACAACTGGCCTGTTCGAGCTTTTAAGAACCGCTAGTCTTCAATTCCTGACATATAAGGTGGCCTTCCTAATTGCAATCACATCAGCAAGGAGGATTTCCGAATTGGCGGCATTGTCAATGAGAAAGGACCTGTGCGTGTTTCATGCGGACAGAGTGATTCTCCGATTGGATCCATCATTCACTCCTAAAGTAAATTCAGCCTTCCACAGAGCGCAGGAGTTGGTGCTTCCAAATTTTTGTCCGAAACCATCTCATAGACTGGAGCATCAATGGCATCGACTTGACGTTCGAAGGGCCTTAAGCATCTATCTAGACCGCACGGCGGCATTTCGAAAATCTGAGGCTCTATTCCTATCCTTCAACCCATCCACTTTAGGGCAAAACGTGTCGTCGACGACCATCGGTAGATGGTTGAGAGCCACCATAGCTAAAAGTTACGAATGCCAGTCCATCTCAGTTCCTAAGGGCATTACAGCCCACTCAACAAGGAGTGCGGCAACATCAGCAGCATGGGCCACACGGGCTTCCATAGATGAAATTTGCAGAGCGGCAACTTGGGCTTCACCATCGCCCTTTGTCAGAAATTATAAAATTGATGTCTATGCCTCAGCGGACGCTTCATTTGGCAGAAGAGTCCTGCAGAGGGTCCACAGAGTTTAGGAGTGGATTTCGATCCAGACGGAGTCCCTCCCTAAGGACAGGCCAAGCTTTGGTATGTCCCACTTCTGGATGCTCTGAACAGCTCATGGGAGAAAGGGCGTTGGTACTTACCTGATATGCCCGTTCTCTGTGAGCTGTGAAGAGCATCCAGCCCCACCCATTTCTTTCTGTCTGGTGGGGTTCCGTTCCAGTCAGGGATCTAGATTAGGTGATGAGTCCCGGACTTTGGCACTCAGTCTTCGCAAAACTGGGGGACGCTGAGGAGGTGTCCCGTGGAGGAGGAGGAGCGTCCCGGAGTTTTAAGCCCAGCCTTTCCAGAAGAGACTGAAGCACCTCCCACTTCTGGATGCTCTTCACAGCTCACAGAGAACGGGTGTATCAGGTAAGTACCAACACCCTTTCTCAGTTCAAAATACCTCTTGGGTTTATTATGTGAATAAAATTAAAGGAAACCCTAGTGTAAGCCATTCACAAAAATCAGAAAGCTGATCCAAATCTTGCTTGGTAGGAAAACAAACAAGCAAAGCTATGTTTTGTTCTGCTACCAAACATTAGATGGCAATTTGAGCTGGCATATAAGGCTCAAGATATTTTAAATACCAAAAATGCACTTACTAGTAATTGTCTTAAATGAACAGACTGAAAAAACTTTACTTGCTGTTTCTTATTTTCTTGAATTCAAATAGGAGAGAAACTGAGGGCAGAGGTACTGGTGGCAGTGGAATCTTACTGCCATTTCAGATTACACCAAAGTAATAAATGTAATTTTGGAACACTTGAATGCCTTGTGAAGTATAAAAACCTGCTGATAAGTGTCAGAATAAAAAAAAGGGGGGCTGCTTTTTGTTTAGCTGATTTTATAATTCATAATCAGTTGTGTAACATAAATCCAGTTTGGGTAACTGAAATATTTTGTGATTTCTTGGGTAGGATAGGGAGGCAGGGAAGGATAGGGATGCAATTCCCTTTTTTATGGCATTACTTTTATTTAGGCAAAATCTATAGAAACCTAACTCAATTGTGGAGTTTATGGTTGTCTTGCAGGAATTTGCAACATTGACCAGGGAACTCAATGCATGTCGAGAACAGCTGTTGGAAAGGGAAGAGGAAATCTCTGAGCTGAAAGCAGAACGCAATAATACGCGGGTGAGTAATAAATGAGTTTTACTCTGGACAAGTTCTGTTGGTAGCTTAATCCAAAAGCCACATTTATATTTGCAGATAACATTCAACTTAATCATAAGTTGTTGAATATGCCATAATGGCCTGATTTGTGCATCATTCTAAAACAAAAGGAAAGAAATCATATGGTTTCCTTTGAACCTAGAATTAACAATCTAGGTTAATTGAGATACAGCATGATCTGCCTTTCTCTAAGGTTCCCCCGACTCTCTAATAGACAATTATACAGAAAATTTGCAGTTTTCCCCAGCCCTAAGTTTTAAGAGGATTGAAAGCTTTTTGTAGAATTTGTCATCTTCAGTAATATTTAATATTACTGTTCTCTTGTTCTTTTGATTATGACAGGGTTTAACATAATCTCTGTTAAATTCAGGGTAAATTCTATAGAATGTTGGCCTTGTTTTATATTTCTTAGAATATAGCTTGGTTTTCATACCTGCGGAGGCAATTTAGGACCATGTCCAGTTATGGAGAATAAATTCATACCCTTCTGTCTGTGACAATCCTTCAGGTATTTGTAAACCACTGCAAAGAATATTAGGGATTTGTTAAAGGCACTCTCTCAGAGAGCTAGTTTGGTGCAGTGATTAAGGGAATAGGCTAGAAACCAGGAGAGCATGAGTTCTGGTTCCACCTTAAAGTCACCTGGGTGACCTTGGGGTGGTTACTCTCTCTCAGCCCTAGGAAGAAGATAATGGCAAACCACTGCTGAAAAGCTTTGGAAAGAAAACTACAGGGATTTGCCCTGGTAGTCTCTGAGAATTGGATACAATTGAACAGAAAAAAGGCAGTATAAAGAAAAGCCAAGTTCTGTCAATAAAAGTTGCTAATTTATATGATTCCTTCATGAATATAAGTAATTATTCTTTTGAGAGCAAACTTGGGCAAAAGATACATAATTTTCACCATACTTTCTTTGCTTAGGTTTACTGTTTTCAGCATTACTGGAAGATGGTTAGCTTTCTCAACTATACATCAATACATTTTCTATTTGAAATGCTAGAAATTTTAAATGAGAAATTGAGTATTGAACTTCACTAATTCTATACTTAGTGATGCTTCAAAGTTTGGATGTACTACTACATGCCACATTAGCAGGAAACCATCTGCCAGACACAGTGCTGTTATGATTGGCAAATGGTTTTGACAGATGGCTAGACTCAGGGGTTTAGTCGTCTCTCAAAACTCAGATTGGGCTTTTGTCTCAGTTTTGGCTGCACAAGACAAAAGTAAGCTTGCCAAGACAAAGTATGAGTGAATTTTAACACTACTCCCACTTTGCCAGTACAAACTTGATCAACTTTTTTTTAAAAAAACCCTGTTCCTGGTAGATTGTGACCATCTTACAGCATTACAACTCTCATTTTGGGAACCCCAATCTAATAAATCATCTTATAATAAACATTTTTAAACAACAATAGAATAATTTCTGAATTAATCCAAGGACAGTTTATAAAAGCTTACCTATCTCTTCCTCTGCTATATTTCCTGTGAACAATCTCTCAGTGTATGTATGTTTATTAATTTATTTTTATACATAAAATCTTACCTATTAGGTTTTAAGATTCAGCCTTAGTCTGATGTCTATATTTCTGGTGCAGAAAATGCCTTTGCAGTTAAACCTGGTAATTGTTCAAATCAAGGACCGAAGGCTTTATCTTGCTTACGGTAACTTACATAAAGAATAACTGGAGCTGCTGTTTAATTTTCAGCTTTTGTTGGAGCACTTGGAGTGCCTGGTCTCAAGGCATGAACGCTCTCTGAGGATGACAGTAGTAAAGCGGCAAGCTCAGTCTCCGTCAGGTGTCTCCAGTGAGGTTGAAGTTCTGAAGGCCCTGAAGTCTTTATTTGAACATCATAAAGCATTGGATGAGAAGGTGAGACTTACAAAGTGGTTAGTTTTGTTGGAGAAAGGTTAGCTTTAATAAAGCCATCTGTTTTTATCTCATAATCTTTTTAAGTAACAAAGTTGTGATGATCTCTAGTATTGCTTTGGCTCAGCACTTCTTTAGAACTCTCTTGTATCTTTTGATCCTTCCACTAAATGATTTCCATATTAAAAGGTTTTGCCCTTTGAAGAAAATTCTCAAATATTATTGCTTTACAGTCCAGGAAGCTACTGTCAAAACTGAATTTGTACAAGTGCTCTTCTAAAGGGCTATTCCAGCAGTACGCTTCCACTCTAATTCAATTTTGTATTTCAATTTGCAGAATGCTGACTAGATGATTCTGGGAGTTGGTCCAAACGTGTTAAAGTTCCTGAAGTTGAAAAATACTAATGTAGACAACTTTCTGAAATCATCTTCTGTTTATGCTTACAGAGAGTACTCTTTCCACATGCAGACCAAGTCATTATATGAAAGATCATAATCTCCCGCAAGAGCATTCTGTTATTTAAATGAGATCCAGGCTCCTATTGCTGACAGTTCTACACCCTTCTGGCAAATAATTTGAGAGGAGAGTAATCTCATTAAACTGTTTGCGTTATGAAAGGGAGTTTCAGGTGCTAGGTGTTCTTAAATCTGGCACCTTAGTCCAATAAATTGCAAGAAAACTCTCTATTTTCAGGTAAGAGAACGCCTGAGAGCAGCACTGGAACGAGTAGCAACACTAGAAGAACAGCTGTCCAGTGCCCACCAGCAAGTAAATATACATTTCATTTTCTATCCCAGATTTCATAGGAATGTTTCTCAAATAATTTGTCAGTTCTGTTTACCACAAGCACATAGAGCAACAAAGCCCAGTGTAAAATGCAAAGTGGCCTGTCTTTATTGTAACAGAGAGCCAGTTTGGTCTAGTGGTTAAGGCACTAGGCTAGAAAGCAGGAGACCATGAGCTGAAGTCCCACCTTAGCTATGAAAGCCAGCTGGATGCCTTTGGGCCAGTCACTGTCTCTCAGCACAAACTTCCTCTCAAGGTTGTTGTTGTGGGGAAAATAGGAGGAAGAAGGGGTGTTTGATAAATTTGCCACCTTGAGTTATTTGTAATAATAATACAGATGGAGTGCAAATAAAATAAATAATATCTAGACGATGTCATATCCAAGGAAGGAAAGAAAAAAAAAAGCAAATGATAGAACAGATGGCAGCAATGTAATGAGTAAGATTAGTTAAATACGTGCATGCTTTTATTATATCATGAAGTTTAAACTGCACAAAATAATTTATTAGATGTGGCTTTTTCTTTCCAATAATTTGTCGTAAGTGAAAAGTAGGTGCGCCTCCTTTGAAAGCTGTGAAAATATCAGTTTAACTGTCAGAAGTATTCTAAATCCCTTGTTCTATAGAAGTGCTTTGCATTTTTTCCCCATGTTTATGAGAACTGTTAATTCTACTGAATATGTATTTTCCAGGTAAATGCTCTTCAGCAAGGATCTTCCCAAAGGGAAGCACCTGTAGGGGAAGATGAAAAAAGGACTGAGGGCAAAGAATCTGGACAAAAAGTACTTTGGAAGGTAAGAGGCAACTTTCTGGGAATTGGATAATAGCCAAGATACAATTGAAATACTTTATGTCTGCAATTCTGAGTCAGACAATTATGTTCCATGGGACTCCTTAGCCTTTAGGCAAATTTTGTGTTTTCCTTGCTGTTTCTAAAATTTTGAAATAGACTGATTGAACAGTTTTCCAGTTATTCTAAGACAGGGGTGTCAAACTGGCAGCCTACGGGCTGGTTGCATCACATGCAGGCCATGCCCACCCCAGCTCCACAAAGGGGGAAAACATCACGAAGCAACGTGACAAGGCGAGTTTGACACCCGTGTTCTAAGATTTCATCTGATTTAAGACATCTTATTTTCAGAAGGTATATTGTGCAGAGCTATACACTTATGTAGAGCCAGCTTGGTGTAGTGGTTAAGGAATCACTCTAGAAACCAGGAAACTGTGAGTTCTAGTTTTATCTTAGGCACAAAACCATTGGGGTGACCCTCATGGGCTAGTCTTTCTCGCAGCCCTAGGAAGTAGGCAATGGCAAACCTTGAAAACCTTGCCAAGAACACTGCAGGAACTTGTTTAGGCAGCCTCTGAGAATCAGACACAATTGAATGGAAGAAAAAACCCACCTTATTATGTGGTTTATACATAAAAAGAATTATTGATACCCTGGCACTTGTCTTATTGAGTAGATTTTAAAAACATACAATGACCCTTGTTCTAATTTATCTATTCTCTATTGATATGAAAAGTTGGAATCTTTTTCTATGTTACTTGACAGAGACTCCCTAATGGCTCTATACACCCAGATGATGGGGCAAGTCAGATTGTGGAATTGCAGGAGCTTCTAGAGAAACAAAACTTTGAACTAGCACAAGCTAAAGAACGGTTAGCCGGTCTGGCTGCCAGTGTTTCTGAGCTTGAGGAAGATCTAAGCACAGCCAGGAGGGACCTCATCAAATCTGAAGAAATGAGCAGCAAGTACCAGAGGGACCTACGAGAGGTCAGAGTGCTAAATTCCAGTTGTGAAAATGATGGCATACAAAAAACCCTCTTCTAAATCAATTTAAAATAATTCAGTTTTTCTACTTAGACTGAATCCTGAGTTTATTGAAGTACCTAAAGAAATGGGTTTAGTTATATAGTAATAAATTATAAAATTATTCTAAACCCTTCCAGAAAGGTAATTTAGTTTAGAATATTCTGTTAAAATTCTTGAAAAAGCTCGGCAGGTTTCTTATATATTTAGTGCAAGTTCTTGAAAATCCAGGTTACATTTTTCCCCCCTACCAGCCCCTCTTCCTTGTTAATCTCTCTCTGATTCTTGAAGCCACTATGATAATACATTTGACAGATAGTGAAAGGCACCAGTCAGTATTGTACAGATGTTCTACAGCTGCAAATGATGTGTAGAATATAATTTGCTGTCAGGTATCAGAGGATTTAACTGTGATGGAGTTTTCCAGTACTTGTTGCCCATCTTCCAATTACAACAGTGGGAAAATGAATCTGGTTTACAATGGAACTAGACTATCTTAGACTCTATTGTGGAAGTAAACCTGCATTGTTAATATTTCCTTTCCCAGGCTTTGGCACAAAAAGAAGACATGGAGGAGAGAATAACCACCCTAGAGAAACGCTATCTGGCAGCCCAGAGAGAAGCAACTTCCATTCATGACCTTAATGACAAGTTGGAGAATGAGCTTGCCAATAAAGACTCTCTCCATCGTCAGGTAATGGGGTTTAAATGTCACGGCAAATGAAATGCCCGTGTCAGTCTGATAGAGAGCTTCATGGATGATGTGCTCTATTTTTGAAGGCCCATTTTGGCTCCTTAGCAGAACTTTCTTCCTAGATACTCTTCTTGTTGAGATGATTCTTTCCCAGAAGCACTACTACTTAGCCTTCATGACTAGTACTGTACCCGCTGTTCAAGTGAATGATAGAGCTTGGCTATTCTTGCACACAAACCTGTAATAAAACTACAGAATTTTAAAATAATGTTTAAATGTAAAGACAGTTAAAATTAATAGACAACTTTCTTTGAGTAAAAAATGTTTAAAGCCTTGTCTTTGCCAGCGATTCTTTGGCTATTAAATTAGGGTACCATGCAATCTTTTCACAAATGGGGCATCGCAATTGAAAGTGTGGAACGTTTAAAAAATGGCGTATTATGTTGATTCATGTGGGAGAACCCAATCTTTATGTACTGGTTCCAAGCAATACCTAATATTAAATTTGGTTTTGTACAGGCCCCAAATCCATTTACCTTAGTCAGTGATGGGATTCAAAAAGTTTTACTACCAGTTCTGTGGGCATGGCTTGGTGGGCGTGGCATGGCTTGGTGGGCGTGGCAGGGGAAGGACACTGTAAAATCTCCATTCCCACCCCAACCCACTAACCCGCTTTCCAGCTTCATTCTCCTGTGCAGGGCAACAAAAGAAGACCCAGCCAATCATCTGGGACTCGGGAGGCAGAGAATAGATGGGGGCGGAGCCAGTCAGAGGTGGTATTTGCCGATTCTTTGAACTACTCAAAATTTCCGCTACTGGTTCTCCAGAACTGCTGAATATCACCTCTGACCTTAGTGGTTTAATATTCAGAGTGTTAAAATACAAGATTGTAATTTTAAAATATTTGTATGGATTTGCTGCTGTGCTTAAGATTTTATTTATTTATTTGGGAACATATTTAATAAACTTACATTATGAAAACTTTCTGAGTGGCAAATAAATCCAATAAAATATTTATGAAGAAACTTTATAATATATAAAATTAGTAGAGCTGTGCAAAATGTTTTGATTTTGAAATATTCTGAGTCAAAACATTCCATTTTGAGCATTTTAGAGATGTTTTAAGCTGAGAACATTTCTGTTTCAAATACAAAACATTGTTTCAGGTTCAATGATGTAAAATGCTCAGAGCAGTCTATTTTTCATTTTAAATAATTGTCTTACATAGTTAGAATAGAGACATGGCATTTTGGAGTCAGAGTGTTTCAATTCAGAACACTTTATACAGGTGTAAAATATGTTCTAATTAACATAATGTAAATATTCTGCAATCCTGTAGCAGTAAATGTTGATATTCAGCTTTTTAAAAATCAGAATCAAAAGCAGGTGTAAAGAAAACTGATTCTGGTTGGAATACATGCATTATTAGAGTACAGAGCTCTGACATTGTTTGGAAATATCCTTAGCATTTCTGGCTCCTGGTATACATTGCTGCCATTCTGCATCATTCCACAGTGTGAAGAGAAGGCCAGGCATCTTCAGGAGCTTCTGGAGCTGGCGGAGCAGAAACTGCAGCAGACAATGAGGAAAGCTGAGACTTTGCCTGAGGTGGAAGCTGAGCTAGCTCAAAGAATAGCAGCTCTTACCAAGGCAAGTAGACAGGACTGTCGTGAGCTTTCAATAAAACCTAGGATATTCGATGGTTTGGCATCTGTCCAGGCCATATGACTTTCTTGGGATGGAAAACAAGTTGGGAAAAGGTCATGAACCTACTTCTAAAAACTGGCTTTTTAAAAGAAAAAGCGAAAAGCTCAGCATCATCAAGTGGACTAGCATAAAGTTCTCTTAGGGACATAATTATCCTAAGAAGTAGCTACTAGCGATGTACAGTTAAGCTCTAATACGATTCAAATAGTTGATGCTATCCAAATCAGAAAAGCTGAGGCTCTGAATAGCTCTGAAGCACTGGATTGAGTTATTTTGAGTTATAATTTTGGAACTGATTGAGAAATCCAGTTTATATTCAATTTGTGTATAGCTGCCTCCTATGCTGGTATTTAGGTAAGATTGGTTGTGCTCAACCTTTCAATGGATTATACTAGGGGCTTTACTATTTAATGCACACAGAATTGGAGGGCAGTAACTGCTGTCCAAGGATGCTTTATCCCATTAAATTGTCAGATACTTTGTGTGTTTATTTTAGTTTTGGGATTAAGATCCATTTACCAAGACTATGGTATTGCTATTAAGTCTGTTATTTGTACACAGATGCATTTAAGGAATCAGATGGGAGCATTTTATATACTTCTTGAATGAAATATATTTACTAGCTTGATATAAACCAGAACTAGCCAAGAAATATGTGCTGTGCGGTTCAAATAGCTTTCTAACCATAAAGTAATGAATTCAAGAAGGAACTCATGTCTGTGGCCTGAGGTTGAGAGGTTCTATTTCTAGAATCTCTCAGAGAATAATTTGCTGCCTTTCCAAATATTTTACAAGAGTAAATCCACATTGGTTATATACCAGATGCTTAGTTAAACCTATATGGTATATAAATGTAAACTTATATAACCGTGATGGCAAACCTATGGCATGCATGCCGGAAATGGCATGGAGGGCCATCGCCTGTTGCTTTTCTAAGTTCCGGTGTGCATTCCAGCTGGTCTTCGCATGCGCAGGAGCTCCAGAAACTGGGAGAGTAGCTTTCCAGCACGCATGCGTGTGCTGGGAAGCTGAGCTTCCAGTTTCCTGGCCAACTGGTTTTCTGGTTTTTGGCATGCATGTGCGTGCAAAGACCAGCTGGCTGGCGTGCATGCATGCACTGAAAAACAGAAGCTCTCTTTCAAACACTCCTGCACGTATGTGCCAGGGAGCTGCTCTTTGGTTTCCGGTGCTGCCCCGCGCATATATGCACTCCCATTTTGGTGCTTGGTGCCGAAAAGGTTTGTCAACACTGTATATAAGAACAAGTCTTCTCCATTTTTAGCAACCTGCATTTCCACAGCTGATTCCTAAATTCCTTCGAGCAGTATTTTGTAACAGGTAATGTTTGTACCATTGATGGTATACAGGTAGCCCCTGGATAGGATAGGATTAATTTACAGGTAGTCCTCAACTTACAACAGTTCATTTAGAGACTGTTTGAAGTTACAAAGGCACTGCAAAAAGTAACTAATGACCATTTTTCATATTTACAATTGTTGTAGCCTCACCAAGGTCATGCGATCAAAATTCAGATGCGTGGCAACTGACTCATATTTATGACAGTTGCAGTGTCTCAAGGTCATGTTTAAACCTTTTGCAATCTTCTGAGAAGAAAAATCAATGGGGAAGCCAGATTCACTTAACAACCATGTTACTAACTTAATCCTGCAGTGATTCACTTATGGCAAGAAAAGTCATAAAACGGAACAAAATTCACTTAACAATCATCTTGTTTAACATCAGAAATTTTAGGCTTAATTGTGGTCATACACTGAGAGCTACCTGTAATTTAAATCAATGCATGGGAGAAGATGAGAGAGACTAATAGAAGGACAACCAATCCATCTCCTGTTTTAGCATTATGGTCTTCCCAACTTCTAGTTGCCACCGCCAATGAAATGAGCTAAAAGAAGCTGTTTATTGGAGAAAGATTAATCTTTTGAGTCATCAGTGAAGTATACATTTCAGTACTTGCTAGATTAGGGTTGTGCAGATATTATATCTGGACTGAAACAGATATCACTGGAGTACAATAAAGAGAGTCTCAGAATATGATCAAAATGTCTTACTCTAATGAAAGTAAATATTAGATTTTTTTTTTACTTGAGATACCAATCACTAAGATATAACCACAGGCTAAAATGAAAGTATTTATTATCAGTTTGCTTTACAATTATAATTGTACAAATTATTGTTAAGAACAATTTTTCATGTAGTTAAAACAACAACCAATAACAGAAGACTTATAAATATAGAAATATTCTTTAAAAAGCCAGTGTTTTGTTTTTACTTTGGTAGGATTCAGATTCAGATTCATTGCTTGAGGAGGTTGGGAACCACCATTTTAGAGAATGTCTTTTTCTATATAGGCTGAAGAAAGGCATGGTAGTATTGAAGAACGACTGCGGCAACTAGAAACTCAGTTGGAGGAGAAGAACCAAGAACTGGGAAGGGTAAGTTCTTTTCTCCAGAAAATGTAGCTTTATTTTATTTCAGGTCAGAATATTGTCAAATTGAAAATGGTAACTTGGTGTTACTTGTTATGTTTTCTTCTATGATATTAATGTGTTGGGATTTTTTACAAATGTGGTATCACATGGATATTCTTGAGAAAGGATATCCCACCTGGTTGTCTATGGAGATTCTCAGCCATCCAGGTCATGGTTGTCCCAAAGGTGCTTTTTAAAGAGGAAACCAGGCTTTCTTGTTTTTCTCTGAAGACATTTCGCTTTGCATGCAAGAAGCTTCTTCAGCTCTGACTGGATAATGGGGAATGGAAGGATTTATACTCCTTGCAGACAGCTTCAAAGAAAAACCAGAAAGTCTAGTTGCCTCTTGAAAAAGCACCTTTGGGATCCCACGCGGTTGTTTTACATCTTCAGTCACACTCTTATGATATGGTTAAGTGATAGGTTGTTAAAATGTAGTTAAATCTGTGGCACTGAAGCAATAGAAGAAATCACTTCAACTTCATGTTTACTATATGCAAATGTAGTATAGTTGTGTTAGGTATAGTTATCTAAATAATTAGCTTCACTTCTTGATTTAATTTAATTAATTTAATGTTATAATATCAGATGGTCCCATTTGTGATGACTTTTCTGTCTGAACCCTATTTCTGCATTCCCCTTTCCCTGTTTCTACCTCTGATCAAAGTGATCTGTCTTACTCCTGAGATGTCATGTTAAGGCCCTTCATATAGAATACAGGTCTGAAGACTGAGTAGAGTTAACATTGTTTCCCTGTTTTAAAGAAAGGGAAAAGTGGACCACTCAATTTGTCATTGGTACCTGGGAAAATCCTAAAAAGAAAAGCTAATCCAGCAGGGGTTTGCAAGAACTTAGAAAGGAACAACATTTTTATAAATAATTTAGAAGAAAAGATACAGGCAATACTTGTCAAATTTGCAAGTGACACAAAGCTAGGAGGGCTGCTAACAACATAGAAGATAGCTTAAGGGTTCAAAGGGATCTTGATAGATTTAAACTTTGGGCCCTATCCAGCAAAATGCTGTTCAATGGCAATAACTGTAAGGTTCTGCATTTAGGAAAAAAACACCCAGATGCACAGGTACAAGAAAGGCTGAACTCAGGTTGGTAGTAGTACTCAGGAGAAAGATCTGGTTGTCCTGTAGGGTGTGCGCCACAGATAAAGCATGAGCAAGCAGAAGTTGCAGTCTTGGCCTGAATCAATAATATTGAGATCGTGACACAGGTTACTTCTGGTCTATGATGACCTAGTCAGACTGCATCTGGAATACTGTATCTAGTTTTGATGGCCATAATACAAGATGGATACTGAAGAACTGGAAAGGGAGTAAAGAAAAACACAATCATGTGAAAAGGCTTTGGGCTAAATCCTATGAAGAGTAACTAAAATAAGTGGGTAGTTCTCTTTTAGCATTTTCCAGTCAATAAAAGGACCTTGACATTGTTGTAAATATTTTCTTACATTATAATGGGCTAGTTATAGTGAAATAGTAATTTCTGTTTTCATGAATCATTAAGGCTAATTTTAATGCAGTCTCAGAGCAAACTGCTTGGGAATATTTGGCTGATCTTGATATATCCCCCCCAGGCCCGTCAACGGGAGAAAATGAACGAGGAACATAACAAGAGACTCTCTGATACTGTGGACAGGCTGCTGAGTGAATCCAATGAAAGACTTCAGCTTCATCTTAAAGAAAGAATGGCAGCCCTTGAAGAAAAGGTATAGTGCAGATCTTTTTATTATTTATATTCAAATAGGAAAATTAATTTTACTGATAACAAGATGGTACTGGAATGTTCATAACCTCAAAAATCCACCTTAAAAAAAGAAGCTAAGACATTTGATGGGTCATATCACTGATGTTTTGAATACAAGTAGTCCTTGACTTACAGCAGTTCATTTAGTGACCATTCAAAGTTACAATGGCACTGAAAAATGTGACTTTTGACCATTTTTCACAGTTACAGCCTTTGCAGCATCCTCATGATCGTGTGATCAAAATTCAGATGCTTGGCAGCTGGTTCATACTTATGACCATTGCTGTATCCCAAGATTATGTGATCACCTTTTGCAACCTTCTGACAAGTGAAGTCAATGGGAAAGCCAGATTCACTTAACAGTCAGGTTACTAACTTATCAACCACAGTGATTCACTTAACAATTATGGCAAGAAAGATCATAATATGGGGCAAAACTCACTTAACAAATGTCTCACTAACAACAGAAATTTTGGGCTCAATTGTGGTTGTAAGTCAAGAACTACCTGTAGTAAGTGTAGCAGCTGCTTTCCAAGCCAGTGATTTATGTAGAAGGGATATTAGAAATGTATTAGTGCTGCCGTGCAATAGAGCATGGGAGTAGGTTGGCTAGAGTGGTTGATTCTTTGCTGCCTTGGTTTTTATAAGACTTTGACTTCTTTCTGGGGGTTTTCTCTTTGTTCTTATCATGAATTATGAACGATGAAAGTATGATTTAAATTGCTGCTGCAATAAATATGGAATCGAATTCTGGCTTTTTAAGTTTTTTTGAAATCCCTTTAGTTCATCGAGCCACATTCACATCTTGAATTTCTGAGAAACTTATCATGTCTTTCTCTGTGCATGTATATGTATGTGTGTGACACATATACACTATCAAAAAGCCAGATTTAGGTTGCTTGAGATGCAGTTGAGAGTTCATGGACAAGAAAGGTACTTTTGATTAAATGCAAATTGGTTGACTTTTGTGAAGAGGTAGTCCTACTAAATAAATATGCACATGATTACAAAATAATCATTACAGATGTATCTTGATTCACCCATGTAACACTATTACTAGGCAAGCTGCATTGTAGCCAGTTGAATTCTGGGTGCAATTGAAGGTTGTCACCCTTAAAGTATCTGCACAACTAGCAGTAGTATCTGTCCATCCAGTTAGATCTGGTGGACTAGGCTGTCTTCACATTTCTTTGCTCAGGGAGTGCCATCTTCAAGGATCACAAAGAACAATGGCAATCAGTACCATTTATAACAAAATCCTCCTCTCTAGTGAATGAGCCTAAATGTAATGGCATTCTTGTGCCATTACTACTTACTTTTTTCATTTATATCAGTGCTGAATAACAATATCATTTTAACTGCATTACTTCCATATATAAATGATATTTTGTAAATTCAGGGAGTCCTTTCTGGACTGAAAATCCAGTTGTTGCCCATCTAAGAAATAATTATCTTCAAATGCTGTCAAGTTTTAAGAAACTTGTTGTTTTATATTTGACACCGCAAAGTTTAAATGGTTTTGGCATCCCCCTCCCTGATAACTTCAGTGATGCTATTAAATATACTTAAAAACCCAAAGATACTTCACTTTCAGATTATATTTGAAAACGTGTACTGTAGTTTTTTTCCAATAATTTTTCTAGCAATTCATGAAGATAAACAAAGAATTATACATTATAAATGATGTGTAATTGCTACAGCTCTATTATAACTGGCAAATATTATTCCTGTACGGTACCATGGAAAAGATTTCTGGTCCATTTTCATTAAATATTTATAATATTTCCATTTGCCCTATGGTTATTGTGCCCTATAAGAGTTTGACAAGTAATTAAGTAAAATAATGGAAATGGGACTGAATTGGGATCAGGCAGGGAAAAGAGAGAGATTTTTACTCTTTGACCATGTCTATGATAATCTAAGAAGAATCATCTTTTCTTCAATGTCTGTTATGTGTAATATTTTTTCTGTGATATTTTTCCTCTTAGTGTAACTAGTGTTATTCCCAATCCAGTTTGAGTCTTGTACCTTATTAATTATTTGTTTTAATAATTATGATAAAATAAATAATTTATTTTGATGGGCATAACTTCCATGATCTTATCTCAGGCCCCATATGTTTCTAACTATTTGTCTTTTGGTTTTTAAGAACACATTGTTGCAAGAATTGGAAAATACTCAAAAACAGATTGAAGAGCAGCAGCATGACAAGGTAAATGCTATTACTAAACCTTGTGTAAGAAGTACCAGACATATTTATCAAAATTACTTTTGAGGTCTTCAAAAGATAGATATCAAATAATCATACTGGCATGGCTAATAGTTTACATAGTAATAACCAACAGTGAATGTAACTGTTGTATAATGAAGCACCTAATGTTTCTTTTTCTGATTAGAAAACCATAATTCCAACTGCCATACATATGAAAATGAACCATAGGTAAATTAAGTACAAAGTCGTAATTTAGAAAATATATTGCTTAGGCTTACATTTAATACAAATTTAGATAAACAGGTCACATATATGAGGTTTATTCTGTTTACCATAGTTATAGATTCTTCTGTGAAATAATATTTTCTGGCAGAGTCTCAGCTTTTTTGGATAGCACTTCAGAAATGTCCCTTCTATCTTGTCTCTTTGTACTAGTATTTTTCTATTTCTTGCTTTGTTTCATTGTTATTTGCTTGTATGCATTTTAACTTCACAAATGCATTCATTTTGAAGGTTAATTATAATTGACTAGAGATTGTAGAGAAACAATTTCTGCTTTCATTCTGAACAGAGGAGACTGTCTGATGAAATTGACAGGTTGAGACTAGAAATTGACCAGTTAAAGGCAAGAAGTGGACCTTTACTTGACAGTATACATACCAGGTGAGAACAGTCATTTCTTTTTTTGTTTTATCAACGCTTTCAGAAATTAATCTCTTGAATACTTTTGTGAGGAACAACTTTACCTAAGATTCTTTCTAGAATAATAATTAAGTCTGTTGAAAAACCTGTAGGAAGTTTCTTGCACCTTTTTGAGTTTTTCCACACTGAATTAAAAGATCAGAGACAGTTGTGTTCATTCAAACATTGGAAAAAAAACTTGTTATTCAATAGAGACTGTTCCCCTTTATTACGTCCATAGTTATTGTGATAGATGCTGTATTATTTTTGTGTCTCAGAAGGAAAAAGGCTACCTGGATTCAACTGAGTCACAAATTGTCTTTATATAAGGCAGTTCAAATTCATATTTTCTACTTATTTAGTGGTTGCTTCACAGCAGCATGCATTTTATAATAGTCTCTTGTACTTTTGGATTTTATTGGTAAGTTCTGAACTCATAGGTTTGTTTTTTAATCACGACTAGAATCTTGCATACTTGAGAGAACAAAGGAATAATTCATAATTTTATTTCTTTGTGTACTTTTCTGTTTAAAGGTGGGAAGAAAAACTCACTTTCCCCAAAATAATTATTATGGGCAGAGGGGAAGGACTGGGTTCAGGGACAGCACATCAAAGAACACAATGCCAGTAAGCTAGTCATCTCCTCTTAAGCACCTCTCAAACTCTTTGGAACACAACAAGGAGGTCAACCTCATGATGATTCATTTACTGGCAGAAAAGTGCTATTTTTTTCAATGACAAAATAAATGTATAGTTTGCAACTCAGACTGACTCCTGGCACGTGGAAGAGGCTCTTGCTTGAAACCCTGAAGGAAAAGCTGTTGTTCTTATGAATTGGAGTCTGATTTGGTTTAAGATAGCATTCCATTCAAGATAGGAGAAGGTTATGTTATCTTGATTATCAGATAAGGAAAATAAATAGTTCTTTTTTCTTTCTTTCAATAGAATTATTTTTTAAGCCTGATTATTAGTGGGAATATTCTTTTATGTAAGAAGGACATTATAGATGCCATTAATTTGGGAGCCAGGTTTGAGATTTGAAAACCATGTGAAACTTTTACTAAATTATGAAGTAACTTGTATATTAACAACAAATACTTTTAACATATATCCTTTATGTAGCCAAATAATACTTGACAAGAAGGATGGTGTCAGTAGAGTGTGGATAACCTCAAGAGACACAGAAATACAAACAGATTTCTCTTGGGGAAGGGATATTAGACTCTTAAAGTAGGTTTACAATAACGACTTTACATCTTGCTGTATGTTCCAGGAAGGTGTTTGACATTCTTCTGCATTTTTCTGTTGCAAAATAAGTCTAATAAAATTTACAAGAACCGAGTGTCATTATATCTCAACAGGAAGATCACCAGGAAATTTCAAGGAGAGTGGCTAGACTGGTTATTTAAAAGAAAAATAAATCCTACAAGAAAGAAGGGAGAACTTTTTGCATATTTTAAATAAGAAAATAAATTGAATGATGAATTTTCCCATGTAGTCATTATAAGGTCATCTTTAGTTAGAGAAATTTTATTCTTATCTTAAAATCTGGATAGTTGCTGTTATTTTGGGATCCAGTAGAGGGTGCATTTATATAACAGGCCAACAAATTAAGTAAAGCAGCCAAACACATAAAATGCAATTGCTTTGTTTAGTTTTTATTTTACAATGTTGCTGCAAATAGGAATAGGATTTATCTCTGTTTAGTGTACTGAACTCTTTTTCTCATGCCATTTATAATTCATATGAGAATATTACTTCAGTGTAATAAAAATTATTGAAATTATTATCTGGATTGTCAACTACTGTATGTATATTTCACTTAGTACCTGATCGCTTTAACCATTCTTGATGCTACCTTACCAAATCAGACTCCAATTCATCGGTTGTAGAGACAGTATTTTATGAGATCCTCTGCCTGAGGAAAAAGAATGTGCACTCTTGCTTTATTGAAAAAGAAAATGTACAACATTTTTGTAAGTTTGCTGTTTGTTTTTTAACAAAATGTATGAAATGCTTCTCTGTATGTTTAGTCATTATGGTCTAAAGAATATTATTTCTGCCTAAGCTTTTTGTCTGATTAATTCCTGGTTGAAGTAACATTGACACCCCTCTCCCCCCATTTCTAATTGGAAGAAAAAGGAGACAAATATCTCCCAATTAAGTTTCCCTTGGTTGGATAGTTGATTATGGGGTAGCACAGATACAGTTTTGAAAATAGGAATTGATCTTCTCTTTTCTTCTTCCCAGTTAATAATTATTTTTGGTTCTACACTTTTTAATTATTTTTGGTTTATTTTGGTCTCTGTGCATCACATTTTATATATGGATCCTCCATCTGTCCAAAACCTCTACCAGAATGGGTAGGGGAGTAAATTAAGACATAAGACATAAGAATTTATTTGTCATTACACTCGCTAGCGGGTGCAACGAAATGAGGTGCTCTTCCACAAAGTAAAACTGGACAAACACCACTAAAAAAAAAAAAAAAATTGAACTAAACACAACCAACCATACAATAATCTCTATGCAATTTAAAAATGTAAATACCCCATTACTCTCAGCCATTTAAATTCCACAAAAATCTTATGACCCTGCATTCAAACTCAAAACTGCACTTGGATAAAAACTGTTCTTAAATCTGGTCGTCCTTGTTCTTAATATTATACTTCACCAATAGAATTATACTTCACCAATAGAAGCACTCCTATAGTGCTTTCCAGTAGCTCCTCCCAACAGATACCTGCCATTTAATACTAGCATTCATTCTCTGTCTCTTTTTCTGTTCTGACCTGGCACTGGGCTGGTTACTGCTTCCTTTTTCTTCTTCTTCACACTAAGGTGTGTGGATCAGGATTGTTCAAACTGGAACCCACTCCTATGATCTCAGAACTCTCAACTTCAGTTTATACCAGACCAAAAAGAGCCATCCACAATCAATGTAATGTTCTATCACACAGCTACAGTTGAAATTGCTTTGTATGGTCTCAAAGCCTCTCAATCCTGAAAAAGCCTATAGCTGAAGAACTTGTAGTATTAATACAATTAGAGGAATCTAACTGTCTTGCTGCCATGGGGAGGGAGAGAAAATGGGTTGGCTGTGCAGATGCAAGTTACACGTGAGACAGATTACAAGGATTTTACCAATTAATCCGTTTCACATTCCATAAAAGCACTTTCAACTTCTGCATTACTGTTCTAAAGAGTGACTTCCCCAAGACCTGTTCAGAATAGCCATGTGCTCTGATTAGCGGTCAGCTGCATAATACAAGTAATCTTTGACTTACAACAGTTCATTTTAGTGACCATTCGAAGTTACAATGGCACTGAAAAAAATTATTATAGCTGTTTTTCACACTTACGACAGTTGCGGCATCCCCATGCTCATGTGATCAAAATTCAGACACTTGGCAGCTGACTCACAGTTATGACGGTTGCAGTATCACAGGGGTCATGTGATCACCTTTCTGATAAGCAAAGTCTATGGGAAAGCCAGATTCACTGAAAAACCATATTACTAATTTTACCAACTGCAGTGTTTCAACTTAACTACTGTAGCACGAAAGGCCCTAAAATGGAGCAAAATTCACTTAACAAATGTCTCAATTAGCAACAGAAATTTTGGGCTCAATTTTGGTTGTAAGTTGATGTCCAAGCATAAGCAAATTGGCAGAATTGTGCTGTCTTTAACCTCACCTGAAATACTGCAGACTGTCTAAGGTACACTTGATACTCACTTTTATATGTGTTGTGCAGAAAGCATGATGAAAAAAAGATTGCTCACCTGTGATTGTGTTCTTTGAATTGTCATTTTGCATACACATAACCCATTCACCTTTGTCTATATGGATGCTTATTGTAGTGACTGCTTTGTTTCTAGAACTGTTGAGTTTGCCTTGGGAAAATTGAAGAAACAGTGGGAATCATGTTGTTAGATATGCCCAATGGAATAGACTTCCCATAAAAAATCCCAGCTGGAGAATAATCTAGTAGGCTTCTGTGTAGATTCAGATCTCATATCTGTGAATGGATGGATGATCCTATGAAGAACCACAGTTACAAATAAGTAAATTTTGTAGCAAGGGATAGCAAAAAAGACCGGATGCCTTTCTAAAACGCATTTCCCATAGAAATGAATGAGTATTTTAGAATGTCCCATATCCAACAGTTGTTTGAATAGTATTTACCAAATTTTCTAACTTCAACTGATTATCTTTGGAGACTTATGCAAAGTTATTTTAATAGCTATACAAACTTTATAAAATTGAAATAAAAACATCAAAAGAACTCTCAGTTTTGGTGTTCATCCATTCCATGCTGAGCAAACTGTGCATTTAGCATCCCTGTCTTCAAACACATCCTCACAGGTCCCCAACTGTTCAGCACTGAGATTTCCTATTTTGCTTGTAGTAATGTAACAAAACCTGTATGTGATGCAAAATAAAGTAGAACATTTAAAAAAAATAATATTGTTGTGTTTCATGTGATGAGACTTACTATCGAATGTTATAGAAGGTTCCTTGTCAGGTATTGGCAGAGCATGAAGTTGGAAGTCACATGTAAGAAGAAGCCAGTTGGTAGGGCTGAAAAGTCTTATATACAGTAGAGATCACAGCTGTTGCTTTTCCTTTTGATTTTATTCTCTCCAGAATGAAATGAGGTTCTCAGAAATATGCTTTGTGATGAGAGAGTGGTTGCTGGCCTGGGAGGGAGTTTAATGTGGCATATGACAAGCTTAACAGATAAACATTTAAAAGAGAACGGAAGACTTCAGTTATATCATGGGAATCATTAATTTTAAACATGTACATATACATTATTTAAAAATAAATATCATTTTTAGACAGTACATTTCAAGTATGTTTTTAAATCACTGAAATCCTTTGGCACGCGCCATGGATTTTCTAGGCCTGGGTTGAATTTTAAGTATTATCAATGGCAGCTTATTATTTAATATTCAAGATATTTCTGAATTTCTTTTGATATTCAGGTACAAATTCTTTAAATCTTAGATTATTTTTATCTTATTTTTATGCCCACTTTTATCTTAAAGAACTTACATGTTACATTCTTGTTACATTTGCATATTTATTTATTACATTTACATATCATTAGATCTCTCTCTCTCTCTCTCTCTCTCTCTCTCTCTCTCTCTCTCTCTCTCCCTCTCTCCCTCTCCCTCTCCCCCTCCCTCCCCCTCCCCCTCTCCCTCTTCCTCCCTCCCTCCCTTCTGTTCCCGCTCCACTCCCTCTCCCGCTCCTCCTCTCCCTCTCTCAGTAGTGGCGCCATGCTCTAAAATATGCTTCCTCTGGAGGCCTGTGTAATGTGGTAATTCAGTTGATTTCCCCTACTTAATTGAATCTATTCCATTTTGATAGGAGTTTTAAAATATGACAAATAAATAAAAATTAACAACTATATCCCACTGCTGCTAGTTCTTCCTTTCAGTTTATTTACAATACATTACCTTTGATAAAATTCTATTATCTCATGATTTCTCTTTCCCTATTATTTCTCATCTATAAAATTAATCTTGTGCTGAGATCCACAGAGATATGTCCTGGCACAATCTGGATTTGTATCTATTCCATATTCTCCGTAGGGCATGCCTAACATAATCATTTTTAAAATCTAAATTAACCTGGACTTTATCATACCATAAATATTCATGCAACCCAAATGTTAGGTTGTGTCCCTCTAACTCCAAGAGCCTTCTTTTTTTCAGCAATACCCATTATTTCATCAAAACTAAACAGCAAGCTGCAAAATATAATTTAAAATCGGGTAGATCCAATCCTCCTTTCCTTTGCATTTTGTAACACCTTATATTTAAGTCATGTTTTCCTCCCAGCAAACAAATATAGATATATCCTTCAGCCATTGTTTAAATGGAGCATCAATTGTCAAATCAGATATTGTCTGAAACAAAAGCATCATTCTAGACAAAACTTTCGTTTTTATCACAGAAATTCCGCCAGCAACGATAGTAGTAATTTCTCCTATTTTAACTTACCCATTGAACCATTCCATACTTTAACATAGTTATTTTGAAATCTTACAGTTCATATCTGTCACAGTGATACTCAGACATTTTACCTTCTTGATTTTAAAACCTATTTTATTCAACAATTCTATTTGTTCTACTATTTGTTAATATATTTATCTTCTGTTTGTCAATCTTGAAACTTGTTCATGTAGCAATTTTTTAAAAATAGTCTGTTAATGTTTCAATTTCCTTTAAAGGATCTTTCAAAATCAAGTCATCTGCAAAAATTCTTAACTTGTGTCTTTTAAAATCTTTACTCCCACAATCTTCCAATCTTGTGTTATATCTCTATTCAATATTTCAAGAACCAAAATAAGAGAGGAGACAGTGTGCAACCTGATTTTATTCCTTTTAATATTTTACATGGTTTTGTTAGATCTCCATTAACAATTATTTGTATTTTCTGCAAAATGTAAATTGATTTCCCCCTCTTTTTAATGTTCAAAATTAATATCTTCCAACATATTTAACAAGAAAGCCAGTTCAAATAATCAAAGGTCTCCTCTGCATCTATGAAAGTCAATGTGACTTATTTTTCATTATATTGTTCCAAATATTCCGAAATACCCAATGCATTTCTAAACATTGTCTTTTGACTGTCTTTTAGATAAAAAAATCCCATTGATCCTCATGCTTGCAAAATTGTTTTTACTCTTAATAATATCAGCCTATAGTTTCTTATTCAAGTCAAAACTTGTCCCTCTTTAAATATTAGTTGTACTGTTGACCTCTTTCCAACTCTCCAACATCTTTCCTCCTGCAATATAGAATTCATTGTGTTTTGTAAAGGTTGTAAAATCCTTAAATCATGTATAATAAAACCTGATAATCCCCCATGGTCTAGACTCTAGGCACTCTTCCTGGTTTAATTTTTTTAAAGCTTCCAAAATTTTCTTTATTGTTATAAGTCCATTCATAACCTGTCTCTGTTCCTCTGTAATCCTTAGTAAATTTTGATTCTTTATATATTCATCTATTTTCTTAGAGAGATGTCACTTCTTTTATAAAAATTGGAATAGTATTGATGAAATTTTGTCTGATTGCATCGTCCATTAATATGGTATCCCACTCTTGTAATTTCAGTATCGTTTTCTTTTCATAATTTCTATTTCAGCCATTTCCTGATTTATTTGCAAACTCATTTTTTAAAATTTACATAATTCATTTTCATTTCTTTTACTGTTAACATAGATAACTGTTGTTTTGAAAGCTTAATTTATTGAGAAATAGTTACTTTCTCTGGAAATTTCTTCATTTTTTTTCTCTTTATCTCATCCAAAATAGCTTGTGTTTCTAGACTATGGATTCTAAAGCTTAAACCATCAGTAATTGCAAAATTGATTGGACTCATAGAAAGGGGAAATCAGAAATTAAATACTTACCTATATACTTTTTACATCATAAAACCAACGTAACACACTCTGCTTAGTATCTTTCACTCTGCTTAATTGAGCAGTAATTGTTTAACCTCAATAGTTTTTTGTGCCATCATAGGTGATATCTTTTTTGAAAATACCCCTCTGTTTTAAATAAAATAAAAAGGATTAATACCCTGTTTCTCCAACAATACGGCCTCCCCCAATAGGAAGTCCCAGCATGTTTTATAGGCATGAAATGAAATTAAGCCCCTCCCCCCAAATCAAGGCCTATATTAAAACATGCAAAATGGGGGGGAATGGTGGGGGGGCTTGCCATTAGGAAGTACTTTTGTTGCACACCCGGATATGGTGCTGCCTGCGTTGACCCCGATACGAAGTGCCCCACCAACGCCGAGGTCAACATCCAAGCCGTCGCTGCCCACCCGCCCAAAGATGCAAGGGGGGGGGGAATTAAGTCACCCCCGAAAAGACAGCCTAGCCATTTTTTCGGGGCTCAAAAAAAAAAAAAAAGACCTGGCCTTATTATATGAGAAACACGGTAATAAGACCAAAAAATAAAGCAAGCTTTGAGCAGTATTTTATAGCTTCTTACAAGAAGGAAATAAATGTGTTTCCACATACTGTACATTACATACTCTATTGTTGTTAAATAAAAATTTAATGTAAAAAGAAGGGAGGGAGGAAGAAAGGAAGGAAGGTTTTATTCTTATAAATTTATAAGAATAAATTTATAAATACATTTATTCTTATATTTATTTATTTTAAAAACTCTTTTTCTGAGTCACCTTGACTATTTGTGTTTCAGGACTTGGAGTCTTGGAGATATTGGTTCAGCCCCCATTATCTAAGTCTATGTTCAATATATCTAGATTATGGTAATGTAAGCTAAGTTTTTCTACAAAGGATGCTTATAAATGTATTTAGTGGTTTGGTTGTTTCTTAGAAAATTTTTGTATTATTGTTGGCTTAGTCTTTGATAAGGCCTTGGGAAACCAAAAGACATATCTGCTGAACATTTTCCTCAGTATTTGCCCAGCCTCTTCCCCTACCTTATTTTATTTTAAATAAGTTTTTCGATTAAAAAATACCCAATGGGAAGCTGGGATGCTGCAAGGCAAAGCACCAATTTTAAGTTTAATCTCTATTTCCAAAAAGACTTGATCTACACATAAAATTGAGATAAAATTTACCTTCTTGGGACAGAATGTTCTAGGAAACACTGAAAAGTTCAATTTTTCTACCAGATGTGCCAGAGATGGTCTACTAGCTTCCAGAAGTTCTTCACTATTTCAAGAATTTTACTGTGGAGTTCTTGTTGCTTCCTGAGCTTTGTTGTTTGCTTGCAGATGTTTTTCAGTGACCCACTAGGTAGCATCCTGGAAACTGCTAACTATGCCCCTGAAAGATCCGATCAATGCTGCTCTGAATTAAAACAGAACATTCATAGATAACAAAATAGTCTGGTTCTTTATTGCTCTTTGGTATGTGAGTGGGATTGTGATTGGACACACTCATCATTGCAATCTTTGTGTAAGAATATCTATAGCATAGTTACAACTGCTCTAGAAATGTTTATTAGCCCCAAATTTTCTCACCAGCCAGAATAAATAAGGAACCCCTCTTATCCTGTGATTTTCAATGTATAATCTCTGGCAATATGTTTGTATTTTAGGATATTGATAGAAGGTAAGAAAAACTGTATTAGATGTATTTAAATCCAGGATTTCTCTATAGAAAGCTAAGCTTTAAAGCAATACAACTTCCACTATTTCTTTAAAGTACTTTTTTTTTTCATTTTAATTTTTAATAGGTCCCTTGTTGGCAGTACTCCTGATCTCAGATATCCTCTGAGTACTATGGTCCATCCATCCACGGACCCCTTTGCAACACCTTCTAGTCTTCATCGGACACCAAAGAGCCGTTATGTGGCTCTGCAGGAAGAAGCCTCCAAGGTAAAACTCCTGATGTTTGCCTTGCTGCAAACAAATCTCTAGGGGAAAGCTCCAGTTACGCCTGCATCTTGGAGTGCACCGTAAAATCTTTGTGTTGGCAACAGCTGCAACAGCTGTCTTGTGCTTTTAAAGTGGTGTGGGGGGCACAATGGCCTTTCGCTTGGCAGTGACAGCTGCAAACCTAAACCCTTCTAAAGGAAAGAGACTCCCTGTTGTGCAGAAAGGCTACTTCATTGGATGGTGGCCAGGACAGTACTTATGGGATGGGCTTATACAGAAGAAGGTAGTAAGATGAAATTTGAAAGGATCTTTGCCATTCTGTGAAATTTGGAAAACAAAGAAAGCTCTTAGCTTTTGTATTTCAATACTTCGTTGGGATGTGGTGTTGCTATTTATTTTCTTATGTTTTATTTTGGAATTATTTTCATCAGCCATGTTTGAGATTTGAGCTAGCCATGTATATATATTTAAATTATTATTCGGGGTTCAGCAATCTGCTCAAATACATATTACTAACTTTGGGTAAAATGACAGATTGTGTTTCCATTGCTCCAATAAGAAGATCAAATCTGGTCTGTAACCACTGTCCCGAGTCAGACCTGAAAAGATCTGAGATAAGCCATAGCCTTCATAATGGCCATAAATTCCTATACTGCTTTTGAGGTCGAACCCAGGGAAGCCAGATTGAAGTCCTCCCAACCATAAGTCTGGGGAACCATAAATCCAGTGTCAGCCCTGAGATGGCTACTAGCTTCTCAGGTTGTAAGATAAGCAATCTGGAACATCTGGAATGGATGAAATTGCTGACCCAGAATCTAAACTCATTATTTTAAGAACTGAGATTCTTGGTTTAGTCAACTGAAAGTCAAAGTAATCTGCCTGCTAACTTGCTAATTCAATATTTTCTTGTCTAAATTGTTGAGGGCTATTGTTTTTCTGTTTGTATATCTGTAGCATTATAAATACTATTTTATGCTATTTTAAGTGGTTTATGCATTTTGCATCAGAGTTTTATGCTGCTGGTCCATGGCATGCCAGAAACTGAACAGCGCAAACAAGCGTAGCATGTGAAATCATACCCTCTCTAGTCCATGGAAAAACCTCTCTCCTTGGAACCAGTCCCTGGTGCCCAAAAGGTTGGGGGTTGCTGACTTAAACCACTAAAATTAATATTGCACAAAAGGTAACTACCTTATTATGAGTAAAATGCAGCTGTTTTCTAAGCCAGAATCTGTGCCCCAACCTGTACTCAAAAATCTGAAGCATTGAAGAACTATCAATTCCCCCACTCCCTTTTTTTGTTTCTTTCTAGACTTTGTGTCTGTGTACGTGACTATTCTTTAACAGAATAGCAGAGTTGGACGGGATCTTGGAGGTCTTCTAGTCCAATCCCTGCTCAAGCAGGAAACCCTATGCCATTTCAGACAAATGGTTATCCAGTCCTTTCTTTAAAAACCTTCACTGTTGGAGAACGCACAACTTTTGGAGGCAAAAATTCTTAACAAGCAGTCAAACCAAGTTCATAAGTCTAAGGAGAGATACATTAGGGAATGAGTAATGTCAAAATTACATCTCTGGCACAGGCTTGTTCTTTTGCTTGGCAACAAGATGAAGGCCTGCACTATATGTTATGCATTACTTTCAAATGCAGGAGATTTTCAAAGAACTAAATCTATCTTCTGAAGGCTCTGTTCTCAGCAGAATTTTCTTGTTTGCTTAGCTGAAACACTGGAATCATTTAAATTACATACATAAAAATCTGTCATCTCAAACAGATATTTCAGCAAGATGATGAAATTGCAATTATGTGAGAATCGTATCTTATGTGGGATACCTTGTGATTTTTTATGTCCAGGATTGGGAGCATGGTCCAACAAGTGGCATCCTGAGTACTTCAGCTCACACTTTTGATAGTGACCCGGAGATTTCTGATGTTGATGAGGATGACCAAGAGACAGTCTTCAGCTCTATGGATATGTTGTCTCCCAGTGGTCATTCTGATGCCCAGACTCTTGCCATGATGCTGCAGGAACAACTGGATGCCATCAACGAGGAGATTAGGTATCTACATCAGGTGTATATATTCTGTATATTTTAGTTGTTTTTGTATGTGTTCAAGGATCAAATGCAAAAGTGTGTGACTGGTCTCCAAGAAATAAATTAGGAAGACATTATCTGGATTGATACTTCCAAACGTTTATGTGTAGATGATAAGGAATTCTGTGAGCGGTAATGAAATGTTTGAGAGAAAATATATGAACAGTTTCATTGGACTGCGCCCTCCCAGAAATAGCACATTTATTTATCTTTAATATCATCTTTCCGAAGAACGTGATCTGGGTAACATAATGTAAAATCTATACTTTCTGCAGTATATTAAGAGGTATTAAATGTGTAGTTTTAGTTTCTTCCTTTGCTCAAAAAATGTTGTTGGAGGAGCAAACCAAGAGGAGATATTTTATGGAAAATTGTTTAAGGTGTGTGTTGTTGCTGTATTTTATTAATTTGTCCTGTCTATGTTCATATCTGTCTATGTATATAGTGTATTCCTGCTGGGGCTCAGCCATAAGTCCTGCAACACTCATTCTCAAAAGCATATGTCTTCTTTTTTCTTAAGATACAAAAAGGAAGGGAGGGAGGGAGGCTGAGAGGATGTCTCCATTTCACCTATTCCCAAGTAATTCAGCACCAGAGAGATTTGTTTGGGGAAAAATGGTTAGTGTCAGTAAAGTGAAAAGGTATCATCAGGGCTGTGAAAGAGCACAGTAGATTGTCAGAGAAGGTTGAGGGGCTACCACTTAAAAGAACCTGGAAGTCCCACCCTAAGTGGTGTGTGTGTGTTTGGCAGCAGGCCTCATTATACAGGCATATTGGCAATAGCTGTGGTGATGCTTAGCCAGGAACTAAGACCTGCCCAGCTCTTACTGGATGCTTTCAGCTGTTGGTATATATGCTATTCTGTACTCCTGCTGAGAATAACCCTCCATGGCCAGTTGGTTTGTGTAACTTGGTTGACATGACAACTGGTTTCCACAGGCAGCTGCCTGCATCATGCCTGGCTGGTGCTTTCTGAAATGCAAACCAGCTCTTACATGAATTCCTGTATTCACCATTCTTGTAAAATAGTGCTAGACCTGCTCAAAAACATATCAAGTACTTGGGTGAAAATATATGTAAGTGTGTGTATATTTGAGTGCATTGGGAGAAGTGTTGTACAGTGATCTTCACAGCTAATTGTAAGAAAAAGTTATGTTGTTATGAGTGCAACAGAGCAAGTTTCAGTTGAGATTATTTCTGTATTCCATTCTGCTTTTTTCACCATGCCATTGACTTGTCAGCTGGTTTCTTGGAGTTCTTTGACATACGTATGCACATATACATACACTTACACATATCATACTCCCAGAACAGTGCTAGACAGGTGTTTAGATCTAGCCCAGGTAACAACCTATTGTTGTGGAACATCTTTCTGCTGGCCATCTATTATTTAGGCGACTTGAAGGATGGTACAGAATGTTTACTTTGTTTTAAATATGACCATTAAACTTAAAGAAGAGGGCCTGGTCTTTTCTTGGTAGGTTCCTATGATCCAATTCCATTGCATCACAGTGTTGAGGAGACCGATTGATGGTTGCTTTCCCTATTCAACAGGTAGAACAGAAACTTTGGTGGAGGAGGAAGTGTTCCATATTCAGCCTGTAAAGGGAGCATTATTTACCAGCATAATTATAAAGGAAAAGAGATTGGCTCGTGGAAAAAAGCTAATTAGGCTGGCATACTTTTGTACTACCCCAGAAACTGGAAGAAAGAATATTAAATATGAGTAGGTAGTAGGGAGAGATAGTAAATGCATTCTGGGTGGATCCCATTCTAATCGCATTTTGGAGGGCCTTGAAAATCTGGCCTTGGACAAAAGGATAAATCCAGACAACATAACTCACCCCAGCCACCTGAGTTCTGTTGTTTGCTGGATTTACCATCTTATGTTTTCTTTGTTTTTATTTATTTGTTGTTGTTTTTTAGTAATGGTGTTTTTGAATTGTATTTTATTTTCTTTCTTATATTATGAGGTGATAGAGTTTGATGATACCAAATGAAATAAATAAAAATGATTGTCTGGATGAGTTCTTAGTTCAGTTGCCTTGGACCCAGGGGTTGTTCCAAGGGGACAGTTAGAGCATGATGGAGGGTAGTCCACAATTACTGATTGTTTCATGAATGAATGTTAGTTTTAATTGTTAATAGTCATGAGTCCTTGTGGAGTGTAGAGATACAAACATAAAAACAATAAATGTGAACAAAAATGATACCAAATAGGTTATACCTGATCCCAGATGAATCAACTACCAAGTCAGGTAGAAGTTAATGAGCAATTTTATTTCTGTCACCACCTCAACCTCATGGATGAAAGTTCATCACAAACATTTTTTGGCTTTGTTGCCTACAAGAGTGTTTTTTTTTAAACTAATGACAAATCTGATTCATCAAGGTTTGCCTAATATCTTCAATGACGTACAGAAAACAAATCATATGACAGTTTTAATTTTGTAATGGAAATTACATTACACTAATGTAGTAATAAAGTTATACTGATGATTTTTCAGGAAATAAAATTTAGCCATAGATTAAAATACAAGGAGGTTCAATGTATGGAGTCATTTGACCACATCACAATTTTGAGCTATTAAAAAAAAGTTGAATTTCCTAGCATTTTGGATTCTGAGAAGATTGAAAATGCGTACTATAAATAAGGAGTGCATCAGAACAGTTTTAGGTTGTAGGATAAATATTTCAAAATATTATTTTAAAAAATGAGCTCTTGTATTTGTTTGAATAAACCCAAGTAAGCCTAACTACTTAGACGGTTCCAGTATACAAGCATGCTATACCGAATTGCTCTGTGAACTAGAGTTGTGTTTAACATACAGATCTTGAATGCTTCTATCTGTCCCTCCTTATGAAAAATAGTAAGATCCCAGCTGAGATTAAATTATGATCTGGTCTAGAATGATCCAAGAGGAGAAAGAATCAACTGAGCTACGGGCTGAACAGTTAGAGAGCCGTGTCACCAGTGGTAGCATGGAAGCCCTAAATCTGACACAGTTACGCAAGAGAGCATCCATCCCCACATCTTTAACTGCCTTGTCTCTGGCAAGTTCATCTCCTCCTGTCAGTGGACGTTCTACTCCAAAACTCACCTCTCGCAGCACAGCTCAGGACCTTGATCGGATATGCAGTATGACCCTGGTAAGAGTTGAATAAATAATAAAAAGTGTGTTCTGCTGGGAATTGGGATTTTTGGTGGGATGCTATGCTCTCTACAATGTTGCCATTATGTCCTATAATGGTCAGCTGTATTGCCCAACCATTAAGGCCTTTGGCATTGCTAATTTGTTTCTATTTAATATCTAAAGCTATTTAGTCTATTACAAAGTCCTCCACCATGGCTGTTGCTCATAGTTTTTTTATCCCTCTCTAGTCCTAATTGTATTGAACAGTGTGCCATCTGCTCCCGAGGGTAATTTTGAGCTAACTTTTGCTGTTTTTATGTCAATCTTTTGACAGCCAAGTGATTTGAGGAAACACCGGAGGAAACTACTTGTGAGTCTGTCCCTTTCTTTGCTTTTTTTTGTAGATTTATATTCTTGCTCCTTTTCTGTACCTGTATTTTGTCATCTTAAACCAACACAGTCTAAGTTACAACATTGCAATTGTAGTCTTCCGAATAATAAAGTTATGCTGAAAATATTTTAAAGAATAAAGCAATGTTTACTCTAGCTATTATTTGAAAATGTGTCATTCTCAGATGCAGATAAAATTTTACCATACTGTATAGCTCTAGTCCTATAAGTGGTTTTCTTTGTCCTACATATAGATATAAATGGTCTACCATAAATATAGAGCTATAAGTATTGCAGATCTTTTCCAAATTAAGTTTTGTTGCTGAGAGCTCATGTGTTCGCTTCAAGCCATTCAGATCATAACAGACTGCTGCTGGGAGGTTGTAAGCAGTAGTTTCTTTATTTATATATAATGGATTCATATAATTAGTAGTTATATGAACTTATATAGAATCCATGTATCTGTCCCTATTTGTAAATTGTTAGAATGTTTATAATATCACACTTTTTCCAAGAGTGCATCTCCTATCAGTGTGAATAGATGTATGTATTTGATTTGTTCATGTATGCTTCTAGTAAAGACATCTTGAGTATTTACTAGCATAGAAAGGCAGGGTATACATTAAACAAGTTAGTAAGTAAACTAATGGGTGGAAACTAATCAAGGAGAGAAGCAATTTAGAACTAAGGAGAAATTTCCTGATAATTAGAACAATTAACCAGTATAACAACTTGCCTCCAGAAGTTGTGAATGCTCCAACACTGGAAGTTTTTAAGAAGAGATTGGATAACCATTTGTCTGAAGTGGTGCAGGGTTTCTTGCCTAAGCAGGTGGTTGGACTAGAAGACCTCCAAGGTCCCTTCCAACTCTGTTATTCTATTCTATTCTAAATTTTGAAATCCAAAAGTCCCAAATGCAGACATTCAAGATGCACCTAATTATATAATATAGTAGGAAGTGTGTTAAAAAAGTAAATTAGACAGAAAGCTTTAAAGTGAGTATATTTAGATATTAAAATAATTAAAGGATAAGATTCTATAGGGCAAAGAACAGCTGGACAATAAAAAGCACACACTTCTAATTTCCCATAACTATGTCACATCCCATAAACTACAACAAATTACAGAATATTGCAAGTCTTAGGTTGTAAATAGAGAATATATTTCAACTAGAAAAACCTGATGATTCCATGCTCAAAATAAATTGGTTTGTGTCCAATTCCTATTTTAGAAGTAGTTTTTCTCTGCCAGGGGCTTATAATTTATTTCTCTTATGGAAAGCTCTTTGCTCTTTGTTCCCGGGTGCTTAAATAATTTTACTTGCAGTGTCAAACTCTGTTTCTTTGCTGATTTACCAGTGATTGTTCAGAAATTTCTGAGTGAGAATTGTGAACATATTTTTATGAGGCAGTAACAGTGGCTTTGTTCAAGACCAAATTCTTGGAAAACAGTGTGGTGTACTGATATATCTCCTATATTTTTGTCACTTTTCTATAATTTTCACTTACATAAGCAGTGCTCCTTAAACTGTACTTCTGATGATTTTGAATAGGCAGATTCTGCAGGGTACTTTTTCCAGTCCTGATGAGAGGGTCCCACGTTCTTGGTTTAGGTAGCAAATTATAAAAATCCCATCTGACAAAAAGTATTAGTGATTGTTATTTCAAGAATAATCCTTATGCCCATAGAGTACTACTTTGTATATGATTCATACAAATCTAAAATAGAAATAGATGAATTGCTGTTTAAATGATGGTAAGTCAGAGGCTCCTGTCCTGTTGCTACATATTACTTTCTCCATATTGTTAATGCATCACAGTCTGCCTCCTCCTTCCTGTTGCTATTGGCTCTTTTGCCTCATATTATTCCAAATAACACTCATAATTATAACTTGACCATTCAATCTTTTTGTTTGACTTACAGTGAGCAGTTATCCCCATGATATACTTGATGCCTGTCTTCTCCTTTAATTAATTAGCAAGTTTCTGATAAGCATGGTAAAGATTGGAGGAAAGTTTTTAGACAGGAATCTCCTGTCTTAAGTCTTAGTTTACCTTATCTGTTCAGTCACCAGCTGGTCGAGATGAGAGTCGAGAAGATAAAACGACCATCAAATGTGAGACTTCTCCTCCTTCTTCACCCAGGAGCCTCAGACTGGAGAAACTTGGACATCCTGCTTTTAGTCAAGATGAAGGCAAGAGGTACATATGTCTGGGAAGGGAACTAGCTGGCCAAGGACTATTATAGGCATATTATCCTGAGCACTTCTGATTTGCATGAACTTGTTCTGCTCATAATTTATATATTAGCTAATCTGGTTGGACTCATTATCTAAACTAGTGGTCATTTCTTGCAAGCACCCCTTTGTTTCACCAAGCACTGTAATGTCATCTGCAAAATCCAAATCTATTAGATGGGCTGTTTACCATAGGATGCCAAAGCTGGGGTTATCCATCACTTTATTCATAATAAAGTACATGGAGAGGAGAAACAAGAATGGTGACAGTATACATCCCTGTCCTACTCCTATATTGATGTTAAAGAAGATTGTGTTGCCAGATTCCATTTGTACACAATTGCTGGAGTTATAATACAGGTTCTTAAAGCTGTTGATAAAATGGTGAGGAATACCATAGGACTTTACAATATTCCATAGTGGTTTTCAATGAATTGAGTCAAACGCCCTTTTGAAGTCAATAAAATTAATTACCATTGGTTTCTGGAATTCTAAACTCTGTTCAGTGATATTTCTTAAGGTCAGGTGCTGGTTGTTACAGAAGCATCTTTTCCTGAATGCTGTTTGTTCTTCACATAGATGCTCTTCACTTGATGCTCCAATCTCCTGAGCAACACAAGGCATAAAACTTTTCCATTTCTAAGGACTGATAGCAATGTTATGCCCCTCCAGTTGTTACAATCACTGAAGTTTCCTTTTTTTGATACTTTAATAATGATAGAATGATGATGGATAGAAAATCTGTTAATGGTACACTTATTACAGTATATAACATTCGTTGCATGATAGTCTATAACAGAAAATCTTGGGCTTCTTTTCTGGATTCTAATTATTCTAACTAAATAATTCTTCATATATGAAAGATTTATGCAGCTGTTAATATTCCACAGAGCGAATTTCAGATACACGTCTCAGTTGTGTTTTCTGTAGATGTTTTACTCTGCTATCCTTTCCCACAGACAGAGATTAGCTGAATATGGTCTCTGAGAAGAACTAGGGGTATTTTGAAAATCGGGGGGAGGGGGGGAGATGAGGCTGATCCAAAGAGGAGGACCTTAACTTCACTATTTTTAATGACATCATGAACTTTTCTTTTCCATCCTTTTAGTTTTCTAGAGGATCAAGCAAGTAACCCCAGCAGCAGTAATAGCAGCCAGGATTCACTGCATAAAGGCTCCAAGAGGAAAGGCATCAAATCTTCAATTGGACGCTTGTTTGGAAAGAAAGAAAAAGGGCGCTTAATCCAGCTGAGTAGAGAAGGCACTACTGGACAAGGTAATTGATTCTTTTCACCTTTTCTAAATAAAGGAATTCCGCAAATTTCGTGGAAGCTGACCATTTGTTTTTCTGTGTCCTTGGAAGAACAGAAAATAATACGATGAAAACAATAAGAATAGCATGAGAATGGCAGTTAAATTTCAGTTTCCTTCAGTTTTACAAATTCCAGGATTATATTTTCATTTGATTCAATTGTTGAACATTTTAATACAATAAAATATAATAGCTGTAGGATTCATCAAAGACATTAGAAAGAAATAATACAGGGCTGCAAAATCTATGTTGATGCAAAATGTATGTTGATAATTGATATCCCACTTATATCAATAAAGTGTTAGCCATTGGTCTATCAATATGATTTCAGTAATTGGATCTAGAATTTGAACTATGAATTATCAGAAGCAATGAACAAAGCTAATGACTTGATCCCATAGAACTCCTGGATGGATAAGGAGTGACATAGCTTGAAAGTACAATAGCTGAAGCAGAGGAATTGGCCAAAGGATGCCCTTGATTCATTCAAGTTTTTTATTAGGATGGAAGAGGCCATTTATACCAATGAGTCCAATCCCCTGATCAGTGTATGAATCCAAATTAAAGTATACTGAAGCAGCTACCTATCCTCTGAACATTTGTACTGAATAGATACCCAATACCCTTCTGGATGATTGATTCCACTCCTTATTTCTAGACTGAATATGAGAAATAGCAAGAAATGTTTATCCTTTTTAATATACAGTATTGGAAAGTGAGCACTAATCTTAATTCTAATCTTATTCATAAGTAAAATCTATCTTTCTGATTCCCTAAATTAGCATATATTATTGCACAGCAAGCTGTGAACAAAAACTATTGGATTGGAGCACTGGTGGCGGAATGAAAAGTTTTGAAGCAAGGAAGGACTAGGAGTACAAACATTTGCAAAAGCATGCCATAGTTTAGCAGTCAGTGAGAATGACAATGTAGCATGGGGTATACAGAATTATCCACAGAAGCTTTCAATAACAGGAAATAAGATCTTGGGGATCCTGTAAATTAGTGTGTGTGTACATCATTGGGTGCTCTGTCATTCAACCCACTTTCAAAGAATGGGAATGAATCAGTAGCTGATAGTAGTCTAATTAGGCTTTAGTAAATACAGTGATGGCAAGGAGTCATAGACCTGGATGTTGAAAGTAATAATTTAATGAGACCAGCAGAAGGGAAGGCATAGAAGCAGAAGTGGAAAAGTCTGGATTGACAGGATTATGAAAAATGTAAGGAAAAAAGGACCTAAACTGGGATGAAATGCAGGACAAATTGGTTTCATCCCAGCTTAAGTCCTTTCTTCCTTAATTTTTTCATAATCCTGTCTATCGCGCCACAATAAAACAGTGGTTACTAATATACATGATGAAAGTGAGACTAGGTGAGGAAGAGAGATAATTTTATAATTGCATATACTTAAGATTTGGTGTATTGTTGTGGTACTCTAAAAAGAATCTTTTTGTCTATACTGTTGGATTCTCATGGCTACTGTCAAATATCACATCTTCAAGCTTAAATTAAACTAAGCAAAGCTTGCTACTCTTGACAGATTGAATTACTCAGTTAAAATTTCTTGATATCAAATTGAATTTCCTGAGTAGGCATAAATTAGTATTTATTTTTGAAGTTTTTTAAAAAAGGTAGTACTATTATATATTATGAGGAGCATCTAGTCTAATTCTTCATCTATTGTGTTTCATAGTTTTGCTAACAGATTCAGAAATGAACATACAGGACTCTCTTGGTCTTGGCAAGCTAGGAGCACAAGCAGAAAAAGATCGACGACTCAAAAAAAAGTGAGGGAAGTTGTATTTACTTCTTCATAAATATTGTAGCAATTAGTGGAAATTTATGTCTTCATTTGGGTATACTCTTGATGAATTGCGGGTCACTGTGGAATATTTGGGAAATATTTTACCACAAGTTTTCAGATTGATTGGACTGAATTATTATCCTAGAATAAGCTCATTTCTCCCCTGAAATAAATTGTAACTGCTTTGTGAGAACTATTATGTTTCCTTCTCCCGAAAGAAACACTTTATAACATTTTCAAGTTTCTTAAAGAAACTAGTTGAATAAATAGAAAGATGGAGATATTCATGGATGGCAGTTTAACAAGAGAGAGGAAGAAATGAAGCTTCCTGATTCTTATCTTTCAAAGGCTTTCTTCTCTACACTGTGAAACTGTTATAAAAGAATTATCACAGTTTTTCAGAATAGACTTGCTTGTCACTATCTGGGCAAGTGATCAAGACATATCTCTTTCAGAAACTTCCTAAGAGCCTATTCAGTTAAAACAAAACCTGGTTTAATTAAAAATAAAAATAAAAAAAATATTTCCCTAGATTTTTTATAATCAATGGTCCACGTATCACATCTGGCACCCTAACCATACAGCAACGTGCCCGCTACCGTGTACTCCGCACAGAACTCAAAAAACGTCTAGATAATGGAGAGAAGGATCTGTACATTGACTACCGTGCTGACTGTATCAAAAGTAAGTCACACAACCCGCAATTCAGCTTTAACCTTCAACCACAACCCTACTTCAACCAATCCACCATCACCCAAGGCTAGACACGCACGCCCCTAACTACCTCAATTCCAACTATAGCTGGCCTTAAATGCAAGCTACTCAATGCAAGAAGCCTTGTGAATAAAATACCTGAATTTCTCCTCTTACTAAATATGGCTAAATTCAACATCATATTTGTCTGTGAAACATGGCTCGACGCATCTCTCCATGATTCCATTACCACCGTAAGAGACTATCATGTTTACCGATCAGATTGTGAAATTCGTAGAGGAGGTGGTGTTGCTATCTTCTATAAAAAGTCCTTACATCTATAAAACATCCAAGTTACCCAGGAGCTTTCTCTTCCTGAGACCATCATCTGTGAACTATCCTTAAATATCATATTTCGATTCTTACTATGTTACAGAGCACCTGATTATGACATCGAACATGTAAACTAGCTAAATTCACTACTAACATGGGCAACATCCTGCCCACATGCTTTTATCTTTCTTGGTGACTTCAATCTATCTCATATTAACTGGACCCTAAACGAATGTACAACTGAACCCATACATGCAACCTTCTACAATGCTGTTACAAATCTGTGACTGGAACAACTAGTACAATACTAGACTTAACAACTGCCTCGATCTCATCTTCTGCAATAGTTTGAATTTAATTTACGGAATACAAACTAAAGAACCCTTTTCCTACAGTGACCACAATATGATTGACTTTTGTCTCAACATACGCCCACACAAAAATAATCACAATGACGTAATCCCCAATTATAACTTCAAAAAAGGCAACTATGATCTTATAGACAACAATCTCTCATCCCTTGATCTATTCACTGGATGCAATGCTGTTGAAGACCATTACAACATATTTTTACTTGAAGTCAAAAGAGTCATCAAACTATATGTACCAATAACAACTCCCCCCCCCAAAAAAAAAACCAGATTACCCATAACAATAAGGAAACTTCAATCCAAAAAGAGATCACTCTGGCAGAAAAATAAATCTGGTCACGTTGCCAGTTTCAAAAGCCGATATAAAACTTTATGCCACCAGATAAAGACTGAATGCACCAATTATCACATTAAACAAGAGGAAAACCTTCTATGCACCAGTTCCACTGCGCTTTTTACAATTTTGTAAACAACAAACTAAAAGACTCAAGGTCCATCCCACCCTTGATAGAACCTAATGATAAAGAGTGCAACGATGGCACCATTAAAGCCAACATCTTTAACACATTTTTTGGCTAAGTATTTGTAAATAGCAATGGATCATGCCCAGTATTTCCTAGCCGAACCACAGACAACTACAATGATCTAATACATATCAATTATACAGAAGACAATGTTGAAAAAGCACTACGCAATCTAAAACCATCTCTATCTATTGGACCGGATGGAATATGTGTCTACTTCTTAAAAAAGCTATCCACTGCCATAGCAGAACCTCTAAGCATAATCTTTGAAAAATCTTTCAGGACTAGCTCCTTGCCTAACCTATGGTCATAAGCCATGGTCATCCCCATCTTCAAAAAGTGAGACCCCAGCTTAGTTGAAAATTACAGACCAAATCTCCTTATGCTGCGTCACCTGTAAAGTCATGGAATCAATTATTAACCAATCCATTATCCTCCACTTAGAGACAAACAACCTACTCTCTAATAAACAATTTGGTTTCAGAAAAAAACTATCCTGTAATCTGCAACTCTTACACTGCAAAAACATATGGACTACATAACACGATCAGGGCAAAACAATAGATTCAATCTACATAGACTTCTGTAAAGCTTTTGATTCAGTGGTACATGACAAACTACTCCTAAAACTAAAATCTTATGGTATCTCTGGACAACTGCATAACTGGATAGAAGCATTCCTGTCAAACAGACAACAAATGGTCAAAATTGAGAGTGTCCTATCAAATTCTGTACCTGTAAACAGTGGTGTCCCCCAAGGCAGTGTTTTAGGACCAACTCTCTTCATACTTTACATAAATGACCTCTGTGATCATATTAAGAGCAACTGTGTTCTTTTCGCTGATGATGTAAAGCTGTTCAATACCACAGACAATACTGCTACTCTTCAAAAAGATCTTGACTATGTATCAGAATGGTCAAACAAATGGCAACTTCAAATCTCAACAAATAAATGCTCTGTCTTACATATTGGCAAAAAAAATAATCAGAAAATAAAATACAAGTTTGTTGATGATCCAAGCTCTGTAAAGGACCTTGGAATACTCATCTCAAATGATCTAAGTGCTAGAGCCCACTGTAACTACATAGCCAAAAAGGCATTAAGAGTTGTTAACCTAATCCTACGTAGCTTTTTCTCTGGTAATATCACACTACTAACTAGAGCATACAAAACATTTGCTAGACCAATACTCGAATACAGCTCATCAATCTGGAACCCACATTACATATCTGATATTAGCACAGTTGAGAAAGTCCAGAAATATTTCACAAGAAGAGTTCTCCGCTCCTCTACTCGTTGTAGAATACCTTATGCCACCAGACTCTAGATCTAGAAAACCTTGAATTACGCTGTCTTTGGTCTGATGGTATATAAAATCATCCATTGCAATGACTTACCTGTCAATGAATACTTCAGCTTCAACCATAACAACACAAGAGCACACAATAGATACAAACTCAAGGTTAACTGCACCAAACTTGATTGCAGGAAATACGACTTCAGCAACAGAGTGGTCAATGTCTGGAATACTCTACCTCACTCTGTGGTTTCTTCCCCAGACCCAAAAAACTTTAACCTTGGACTGTCTACTATTGACCTCACTCCTTTCCTAAGAGGTCTGTAGGGGGCATACATAAGCGCACCAACGTGCCTACTGTCCCTGTCCTATTGTTTCTTTTATTTTTCTTATATGTACCCATTTCATGTATTCATAGCTATGTATATACTTATACCTATTATCTTGTAAATGATTGACAAATCAAAATAAATAAATAAATAAAAATAAAATAAAACCCACTCACTTCCTGGAATATGATAATTCTTTACATACAGAAAGTTGACTCTGGTCCTGATGCTAAAGACCACCCTTCTACACTCATATGTAACTCTATAGCTGCTACCTTCCAACTAAAATTTAGATAAGAGGCTTGTTAACTCTATTTTGCCAAGGAATAGAACCAATTTTCTTTAATGGTGTCAGCTGCTCATTCTTGTATCTTATGCTAGAATGCATATGGTGTTGAACAGCTGAGATGTGTGAAGGAAGCATGTTGCCAAAATGTCTATCAGTATTCATACTGGAAAGCTGTTGCTAGCTTTCCAGTTTTGCTCAGTGAATTTAAAATATATGCTCAGGTAGAGTAATACCAAATGATATTAATTGCATATTGCAGGTTTCCTGTTGCGACATTCTGTGGGACAGCTTGCTAAATTTATTGTCAACTGTTTAGATATAATTTCATTTTTGGGGTTTTGTTTGTTTTCTGGAGGAATGCACAGTTAGTAAGAATTGTTTTATTATTGTTTCCCTTTCCAGACATGAACTTTTGGAAGATGCTAGAAGAAAGGGTATTCCCTTTGCTCAGTGGGATGGGCCAACTGTGGTCTCCTGGTTGGAGGTAAGTTTCTTTTAGCTATTCAGTTTAATTAATCATGTTTAGCCAGGTAACCTGAGGTCCTAATGGATGGAAATATTTCAAAACCGGTGCTGCATATATAGATTTAAGGCAAATGAAGACATTTGGGGGAAGTATCTGCAAATAGAATTTCCATTTTACACATTCAGCTGCACTAAAAGCCTCCAATACAGGAACACAATGTTGCCAGCCAATCAAGACAAAAAAAGCCACAAAACAGACAGAAGATATTAGAAACACCAATCAACCAGAACACAGCAAACTCCAAGACCAATAAACACAGACCAAGACTCCCAACCAATCAGGATATATATATTCTTAAGTTTTTGCGGGTACTTACATGTATGTTATTCAGCTTTGTTCGGGTATTTTCCCACGTCATTATAGTTCTGCTTTTAAAGTTGTAGCAACGTTTCGGCAAAATCTCATCTGCCATCATGTAATGTATGTATATATATATATAACATCACAAACTTTGATTTAAACTGTATTAATAAGAGAACCATTTTTCTCTTTGGATCCTTGAAATTTAAATAAAAATGATGAAAATAGTATGTAAATATAGAGCATAGATATTTTTTTGAATATTGTTGTTTTGAGTACCCTTCCCAAATGTTAATAATTCAGCATAATGTATCTTATACCATGAAATGTAGAGATGATAGAAGAAATATATAGTGTCATAAGAATGAATGTCATAAGTATAAGAAGAATTTAATATTCAGTCAAAATCTTGTCACTCATCTCTGTCCTTTTATGTTGTAGCTTTGGGTGGGCATGCCTGCCTGGTATGTTGCAGCTTGCAGAGCTAATGTGAAAAGCGGTGCAATTATGTCTGCCTTGTCAGATACAGAGATCCAGAGGGAAATTGGAATTAGTAATGCCCTTCACAGGTTAAAACTGCGCTTGGCAATCCAGGAAATGGTGTCTCTCACAAGCCCTTCTGCTCCACCCACCTCCAGAACAGTAAGCACTCTATCTTGGCTTCTTGGGATGTGTAATGTGGGCTTTTTTAAATTTAACACTAAGAACCTGCATTTGAATAGAAGTAAAAGAAACACATAGTCCTTTAGTCAGACTTGAGACTGCAGGTCCTCATTAGGATTCTGATGGAAATTGAAATTTCCATTTTCCTCAGAAAAAGTAAATTGTATCGTACCCTTTCTGTCCCATTGTAATATATATATTTGTAAAATCAGTAAAGGATATTGTGCCTTTTTCATTTCTCTATACTTGCCAGAAATAATTTCACAATAGCTTTATATGCAGTGCTGAGTTATTGTTATTATTCCCATTTGTAAGTTGACCTTCTGGCCAACTTAAATGTGCATTATTAGCAGCTATGATAGCTATTGCAAGATGGGTTGAGTTTTGGTGAACAATGCCTATTTCTTCCTGAAATGTAATGATCTACTTGCTTTGTGTTCCCTGCTTGCTATGTGAGAAATGTTAATACTATAGGCAGAAATGTATGGAATAATATGTATTGAGATCCTTTCCTGTACTGACCCACAGGAAGAGAGGTAAAATATGCTGAAAATTGGAGAAACGGACTATAGTTGTAGATCTTTTAATGTGGAACTTCTGAAAGGTACTTCTTTCACTCTACAACAGCTTGATACTACAACAGTCCATGTTTACCAGCTGGGAGAAAATATCTATTACAAAACCATAATTAGTATTTGACAGGGGTGTCAGCAGGGTGTTAGGAAAGAAGTCAAGATGCCAGATGCCCCTGGTATTTGGATAGAAGACGTTTAGGAGATTCTAAGGCTATAGGCTATGATATTGTGCAATAATGCAAGCTACTTCCATATTGTGTAAAAGAAAAGTTGTTTCCAGGAATTGAGTTCAATTCAAGGGAGCTTTTAACTGTTTTTGACATTGTCACAATGATTGATTCTATGGCTTAAGCTATGGCCACAGCAGTAGTTTTGAGTTGAAAAGTTTTATTGAATATTCCTTGCTTTCTTATTCATATATGTCGTATTTTCATCCTAGTCATCTGGAAATGTCTGGGTTACTCATGAAGAAATGGAAACCATGGCTCCTTCAACCAAAATGGTATTTTTTTTTTTGTCTCTAAGAGAATTCTGCCATCTTGTCCTCTCTGTAAGGAAAATAATTTTGCTTCTGATTAAAAAAAATATGAAAGCTCTGTTTTTACCAAGCAGTTGAATCCTTTGGTTTAGAAAAGAAGAATAATTGAGATAACATAAGGGAGTAATATCAATTGTTCCAAGCCATGTTGGAAATTCTGAAAACAGTTGGAAAGACAGGGCCGAAGCGGCCAAAACTCCAAATATGCCTTTTCCTATCTGATACAAATGATCTACTTCATGTTCAGAAGGCCAACCTGAATGCAAATGCATAGCAACTGATTTACTCTACTAAGGGGCTCTTTTGTGATGTGTTCTGGCACTAGGTTGGCTGTAACAGCTATTTTGCTTACTGCACTACCGTAATAGTTGTATGTCAGTGCCAGAGCAAGTCAGTGGATAGATCACTTGTTCTTATTCAAGTGGAAATGAGTGCATTATATAAAAAATGAGTATGTTATATACAGAAATAAAAACTTCTGTGTTTGGACAGGAACAAGAGAAACATGTTCACCTATATGGTCTTTTTGTCTATTTAACTATTCATATAGATATCAAAGCTTTAAATATCTAGTGCATTTTGATGACTGCGTATGGCATTTTGCTTAAATCTGTTTGCAGCTCTGGGAACAAATAAAGTGGTTTATTATGACAGAAAATGCAGTATAAATATTTCTTTATATCCATAAGCAAAAGAAATACATTTGTTGTGCTTAGTGGCAATGAACAAGTCAGCATTTGGGCAAAGCCAATTGTAAGGCCACCAATTTGGGCATCATTTTGTTAGCTCCTTAAGAACAAGAATAATTAACTGAGAGTTTTGTTTGTTGTTTGTCTGTTTTCAAAACTTCAGCATATTCTTGAGAGATCAAAATGCCAAACACTAAGAGATCCTCTAAATTAGAAATGGTGAATAACGGGAGCCTCTTACTTGTAACTGTATTTATGTGATAGTTTATTTTATCATGTTGATGACAGACAATGCCTCTGCTTTATTGGGGAAGGGGAGAAACAAATGCGGTTTCATGTGATATTTGACTTTACTTATTTTATTGACATGCTGCACTGTCACATTTAGGATACTGAGGAAGGCAGTTGGGCACAGGTGAGACTCCTGCATTATTTTGGTGGGTTTCCCCCCTCCTCTGTACTGGAAATACAAAACTCAATAATTTCCAGCAAAATGGAGTTACATACCATCTGATTATATCAAATTATCTTTTTGAGCAGTTTCTCTAGATTCATTTAAGATCCCCTTAGAGAATAATGGAAACAAATGCAGAACATTTGAAAATCTTCCTATACTTCCTTTTGGTTGCTATTGTAGTACCTTACTATTTTATCCAGATGGGAAGCTAGTCATATTTCTTTTAATAATAACTAATTCCTAGCCAAGGATATCAACATATTAAACCTGCTATATTGATTTTATTGGTGCTTTTCATTTAATTTTAGTATTTCTTATACCTAGTCAGGTTCTTTTTTCTTCTAGTTTCCCCACACAACTAAGATCTTCTCAGCCAAATTTTCCAGCAACTCAGTTGTTTACTTTATTTATTAATTCTGTGCTTAGCATGTAAAAAATCCTATTTCACGTGTCTCCAGACTCAAATAAAATTAACATTCACATAAAAATATCCTTTAGATAAGTTGCACTATTAAAAAAATATGCAGTGTATTTATTCCTAAGGTACTGAAAACAGAATATAAATGCTTTATTTGTGTAAGGTTTTTGAAGTATGGTATATTTACATTACAACATATAATATGCAGAGTTAATAATACTCAGGCAATCGATTTGAGATTTTGTTACAACTGCCAAATATATGTCGTACTGTCATATATTGAAAAATGTATTTGAAGCTACATTATTTATAAGTTACAATTTTTGTTTGCAAATTGTTTCTCAATAAAAATTGTTGAGGTAATAGAATTATTTCAGATCGACTGAAAGTGATCTTGAAGCATTTTAAAGCTGTTATATTACTTGTTTCTGTGGCACAACTCACTAGTATATTTCACTAGGAATTTTATATCTAAGAAGATTTTCAATTATCTCTAGTAGTTTTTTTCCACTAAAATGTTCTAACTCCAATCTGTAGGCTTCCAGCTCAGGATTCTTTCAGTATTGCTAATAGGTATATTTACATGTGAAAGTCACTTTAGTGTGGTGATTAATGCAACAGGCTAGAAACTGAGAGACTGTCAGTTCTAGTCCTACCTTACACACAAAGCCAAGTGGGTGACATTGCAGCAGTTTTTTTCTCACAGCCCCAGGAAGGAGGAAATGGGAAACCACTTCCGAAAAACCTTACCAAGAAAATTGTAGGAACTTTTTCAGCCAGTCTTTGAGAATTGGACACAGTTGAACAAGATGAAAAAACCCAATTGTATGTCCTGTATATGTTATTTGCTTTTTCTTTTTAAAATTTCCACAGACTCTGGCTTATGGGGACATGAACCATGAATGGATAGGGAATGAATGGCTTCCTAGTCTAGGTCTACCACAGTATCGCAGTTACTTCATGGAATGTCTTGTGGATGCACGAATGTTGGATCATCTGACTAAAAAAGACCTTCGAGTACACTTGAAGATGGTAGACAGTTTCCATCGGTGAGCAAGTTTTCTTGGGACAATGTCTGAAGCACTCTTGCAACTACCTTAAATTCCTGTAGTGAAAGGGTGTGTAATTTTTTTCAGGTTTTGCTTTGGAGAATAGGGCCACACTCCAAAAAGAGGTGAATCCTGGACAGACCCCCAAATCTGATTTCATTTTATTCAACAGGGTTGTGCAGTGCTTTGGATTCAAAGGCAAGAAAGCGTTTGGGAACATGCCAGGATACAAATACAGCAGTTGTCTGAAACTCTTTAAATCAAACACATCTTTTATAAGGATCCCATTTCAGCTCCAAAAGGCAACCATGGAAAAAAGAAATGAAGCTGCTTCAAGGAGTTGCGTAAAAGTGCTTCATGAGCTGGACTAGAAGACCTCCAAGGTCCCTTCCAGCTCCTATTCTGTTCTGTTCTATCCTATCCTATCCTATCCTATCCTATCCTATCCTATCCTATCCTAT